ATCTTCTGAAAGGCTCGCTCATATGGGTCCGAAGGCATCAACTTCTTCCCTGGAAATGCATCATCCAAATATTCACAAGTGATTGGGGACTCATAGATCAGCTGGCCTTTGCTGGTCTCCAGAACAGGAACCAGCCCAAAGGGGTTCTTCTCAAAGAACCAGTCAGGTTTGTTCTTCAGATTGATGTTGATTACTTCGTGGCTAAAAGAGCAAAACAAGACCCAGGCTCAGTTCTGTTACAGGCCATACCACCCTGGTGAAATGCAGTCATTACACTTCAACAGCTACAGTACTTGAGTGGCTGAAACATAGAATCAACTAGGTCAAAAAGACCTTAAGATCAACCATTCCACCACGACTGCCAAGTCCACCACTAAACTCTTCACTGAAGTCCTTCGCACAACTAACCGTTGCTGTAAATTAAGTTCAGTTAGCTGAATACTTTTAACTGTCTTATTTTGCCTGAGTAGCTTTGCTTAGCACCATTAGCTAAAGTTGTTGAAAGCTGCAAGCTGTGACCTAGAAAAGTTGAACTTATCTTGAACTATTGCTTAGTTATGTGAAGGGAGGCCCGGAGACCAGTGCAAACAGTAAGATAAGGAAGCCAGGACTGAAAGCAGAAGCTGCAACTTACCCAGCTAATGGCCCACCTAGATCCAGAGAAAGAATCCAATTAGGAACAAGACCCCAGACCAAAAATCATGGCTGGACCAAGAAATGCATGAAAGATCAAGAACGTGTGAAAAACAAGTTCAGAGACTGCAAGGGTACAAAAGCCTGAGGGTTTCTTTGTCCTGTCCCTCTCCAGAGATACCCAGCTCAAGCTGTCCCTATTGCTGTACCACTCGATCATTAAATTATCTGTTTTCCTGGAATCAGACATCTGAGCCTCTGCTGTGGGAAACCTAAGGCAAAGAAACATCTTTAACATCATCCAACATGTACAAATACTGACGGGGGGAGGGAGGGGCACTTCACTGGAAAATAACCAGCATTGACTTAGAATGAGTTGTTTAACAAACTAGTAAAAAACACATGAATAGAGATAGCTGTTGCAGTCATGCTAAACACAAAGCTTAAGCTCAGAATGCAGCACACTTCCACATGCAGGTTAGGGGTATTCTGTGAAAGAAGCACAAGTAAACTACACTCCAGTTAAGAACTGCAGCTGATTTTTAATCTGACCTTACACCAAAGAGCACACTAGGAGAGCATCCTATCCATTTATCTTCCCCACCTATTACCTCAGATAGAACAGGTGTTTAAGGTAAATGCAAACAGATACTGATAAGGTCTGCCAAACACAACTTAACATGCAAAACAATTGAAAGGTTATCAGAAGGCAGCTGCCACACCCAGGTAGCCATAAAAGCCCTTCAAAATCACTATACCAAAACAAACTTCCCAGTTCCAAGATCAATCCAAAGACACTAAATAAAGACAGAATTAAACTGACCTGAAAGTTTTAATATACCTACTCTTTTGAAGAAAGAGCCAAGAAAGAAAAAAACAAACCAACCAACCCAACTCTCATCTTGTTATCAGGAGAACTGAATGGTAAGCATTCACTATGCTAACATGAACCCCAAGCCCTGTTAACAAACCTTTGGCAGGCCTGGGATTTGGTGGGAAACAATTTGGTGGAAAAACCCATTACTTTGAAACTGTGAACTGAGAGAAGCAGTAGACCCCACTTAAAAACACTGAAAGGACATGGCTATCCCGAGATAAAAACAAGCTTAAGTACTCAACTCCATTAACTTTCTGCAGCACAGAAATGAGATGTTACGGTAACATGGTACATCTTTTAAAGAGGCCATTGCTTTTGAATCTCCCAGAATTTTCACTGCAGCTTGCATCAAACCCAAACAACATACTTTAAGGCTCTACCCACAACAAGCTCAAATGTTATTACTGCAAACATTCAGGACGATATACGAAGAAAAAAAGAATCAGCTTGGGGGTTGCCCCTACCTATTTATATAGGGCCTTTACATCACTGATTTCATAGCAGCCTTCTTATTTCCCACTTCAGCAAGACACTGCCCCCAAAAACAAGTCTTAAGTTCCAGCTTTAAGGCAAAAATCACCCCCAGAAACCCCTTTCTTGTTCACTGCTTTCAGGGATGTTTAGCCAAGAGCCATTCAGGATGCCCACGTAAGAAGAGAAGCTCGGACCGTTCCCTGCGGGCCCCGACAGCCCTCGGCGGGCAGCGGTACCGGGGTGTGGGCAGGCCGGGAGCGGAAGAAGCACAGCCGGTGGGGAGCCGCGCAACAAGCCCCACAGGCCCGCCGGGAAGGCCTCACCTGATGCCCTTGGCGCGGAGGACGAGTCTCGTTCTCTGGGCAAAGGGGCAGAACCGCATGCTGTAGAGCCGGATCACCCCCTCGGGCACCGGCCCCGGCGCCGCGCTCCCTGAGGAGACAAGAGGAGACCTGTTACAGCCATTACCCGCCCCGCGCCCCCCCGCCGACCAGGCCCAGCTGAGGTGATACGGCAGCGCGCTGCGAGCCAGGGCCGCCGCTTACCCTTGCCCAGGCTACGAGAGTGGTCGCCGGCCATGGTGATGCACTGTGTTGCGCTCTGTCCGCCGCGTTGTGTTGTGCCTTTCGCCACCACCCCGTCCCCGCCTGCAGGAGGCGGGAACCACCGCTCCTCAGTGGGGCTTGGGCGGGCCGGGGCCGGCTTTCAACCCCTCAGCAGTGATGAGCACCTTGCCTCAGGCGCTGACTCCCATAGCGAGCAGAAAGCTTGTATTTCGGGGAGATAAGGGAGCTCCCCGGTAGCCCTTCCCTAAGCTGACCGTCCTCCCCAGCGTGGATGCTGAGCTGCTTGCTGGCACAGGCACTATTAAACTGCACTTAATATTCTCTTTATAACCTCAGCACAACCCACACCAGCTGGCACTGCCATTCAGATAAGACCGATGGCAAAGCTCCACCCCATATACCTGTTGTGAAGTGGTGCCTTCAGCAGATGGTGAAGCACCAGTCCTCCTTCTGCTTCTCTCCCTAGAAAGGGTTCTCTCCTCCTACAGCACCACTGCATCACTTACTGCCATCAAAACCCCATCCCACCTTGAGGATAACAAGGGGGTTTTCTCTCTCATGAAGCTATTCTGCTTCATGACAAAAACCCTAGAGGAGACAACAGATAACCTAAAAGATAAGGGGGTGCAAGCAAAAGCTACATTCCATTTAATTACTACTTAGAGGGATTCATGCTTGTTTCTGCAAACGTAACCCATGGGAGCATCAGTATGTGCACACAGCAAAAGAGGGAACGAAACCATGGACTGAAGTCCTCTCCAACCCTTTTGCTCCCTCTTCATTTGAGGCAAAGGCACCAAGGCTTTACCTGGACCAGCTTTTTGTGAGGTATAGTAGTAGAAATGGAGAAGCTTACATTTTAATGCATTTCACACAGCATCCAAGTTGGTCTGTGGTCCTAGAAATAAAATGCTTCCCTACATGGGGGTCCATGCACTTCCGCCCAGCCTTCAGGTCAGAGCTGCATGTTATTAACAAGCAGCACTTTTGTAGGCACCAGAGGGCTGGGGCAGTCCTTGCCAAAAGGAGGGAAAGTCCTGGCCTCCTTGGCGATGGTCACATCTCTGTCAAATCCCCAAGGCTAACAGAGGAACCAGAGCTTCTCCAGCCTCATCAGCAGATCCATGTTCGCACAGTGGGGAAGTTTTGCCCGTTGGTGACTTTTGGTTTTGTTTCGTAACTGGATATGGGCCTCCAGGCATCATGTTGCAATGACCATTATTTTCTGCAGTGATCTCTCCTGCAAGACAAACACTGAGGTAGCCACTAGTAAAGTAACCACACACCTGACACCACTATCCATTAGAATGGAAGAACCGCATGATTTGTTGATAAGTCGTTGTGGTTTGATTAGGTAATTAATTGATTATGTAACAAGCAGCTGTGAAGGCAGCAGTGATTTGTTGCACAAGCCTGCCATGCCCTAAGCAAACAGAACCTGTACGTGTCCTGTGCCAACAAATAATTCCTCCTGACACTAAAACAAAATAGCTGTTAGAGGACATATTTCTCATTCCTCCAAGTGCCTGCCCCTAGGAGAGATTCAGCAACATTCTGGGTCATGAGAAAAAGAGAAACTTAATTTGAGATTGCCTTTAGCAATTAAGAACAGTCTGCTAAGTCACAGCCCAGAAAGAGACATGTAGGAACCCAAAGCAGCATCACAAGATCTGCGTGATGCAATAGCCCCTCAAGGGCACCATGCTAAAACAGACCCATTTCTTCATTCTACCTTGGTTTTGCATGGCACACAGAGCATGTGTGGAGACAAGAGGTAAGGTACAGGCTTGCCCTGCTGCCTCCAAACAGGAGTGCCTCTTTCTGTTGCTCTATAGCACTGTGAGTGTGTAGCAGCATCACAAATCTGCACACTGCTGCTGTACAGATAAGTGATAACAAACTAACACAAGCAAAACACTATAAATAATGCTTCTCCCTTTAGGAAAGGGAAAAGGGAGATAATATTGCTTTTAAATACTTTGAGATTTGTACTGTGTTACCATGCTAAACGCCGTAAGTATATAGGTAAAGATTGCAGCTTTACTTCATTGGGCTTGAGCATTCTTGTCTAGTGGGAGATATCCCTGCCCATGGCAGAGAGGTTGGAACTATATGATCTTTAAGGCTTCTTTCAACCCAAACCATTCTGTGATGCCTTACAGTGATCAACTTCTCCATTCTCTTCGAAGCTTCAGGAACACTGCATTACACACCCCAAGAACTGCAGTACCTCATGACAGGAAAACCATGGAAGCAACTGGAGGACAGCCACAGCTGCCGCACTGAGAGGTCATATGCCATTGGAATAGGAGCAGCAGCAGCTGCAGAAGGACCAGTGTGGTGTCCAAGGGAATGAACCCCACAGCTGACTCACTTCTCCGCCTGATAAAGCGGCTGGTTACCCACAAATATCAGTGTCTCGCCTCACCAATATGTATTTAGCCTTCTCCTGTCCGAATCCAGAGCCCCACTCACTCCTTCCTCTAGGGCTGCTGGCCCTTTAAATCCCCGCCAGTGCTCATTGGCGAGTGGCGCAGGGCCACGGGCCAATCAGTGGCCTGCTTGGAGGCTGGCGGGAGGCGCTCTGGTTCCTAAGAGACGGGTGTGAACAAGCCGGCGGCGCTGATGGAGGGGGTCCCTGAGGAGCCGCGCGCCGGGGCCCGCCGCTTCTCTTCGGCCGAGGAGGCCGCGCTGGAAGTGAGGTGGGGCCTGCCCGGACAGCCCGCGCCCTTCGGCATCCGCACACCCGCACCACACACTCCCGAGCCCCCAGCCCCGACGGGATGTCCTATGCTCCTGGGCCTATGCTCCTCTCAGCCCGGGTCAGCTCTATGCAGAGAATAGGGCGAGTCTAAGAGGGAAGAGGCTGCTGTGCTGTGGGCCGTGGTAGGGAGAACAGGTAGGGAAAGAAGCACTTGCACCGCAGCGTGTAGTGGCGACTGAGCCTGTGATGGGTTTAGGTGAAACTTACATTCTCTACCCTTAGCATAGGAATAAGTAACCCTGATTGCTTTTAAGCCGGAGCTTGACAAGAAATGTGGCTTAAGTTGTATTTTCTGCAGTGGTTCTGGCAACACACAGCATGTCCTCTTGGGGCATGATTTTCTTCTCAGTACCTGGCCTTGTGAACCTGTACAGTTATGCTCTGTTCATGGCCACATCTCTCTTCTGTTTTACCTTGACTGCTTCAACTTCTAGAATTTCCCTGGCTGTTCTGTACCTCCTAAATCCCACTGTCATGATCTTCTGCCATGGCTCTTGGCATTCTAAGTCCTGCCTTTCTGAGCAACTTAATCTGTGTGTCAGAGCCTTTCAGATTTTGATTTCCCACAAATATAACCCACACTCTATATAGAATAACATTTCTCTTCCAGAGCTCTTGGTAGTCCAGCAACTTGCTTTTTGGTTCTGAACAAATAGGCACTGTAGGTAAATTATCCTTCCTACCCCACCTTCGTTGAGCCTTTCACAACAATCTAGGATGTTTATACATACTTTCTATGTAATGGGACAGATATTTAAGTTTCCTTGCCCACTGTAAGTATTTGAGCCATTTCATCAATGCTTGTGGCTACATACATCCCTAATTATAGGTGCAGCACTTATTTGTTCTAGTGATAGGAGAAGCAGGCTTCAGCCTTAACCATTCTGATACTTGTAGAGTGAAAAAGGTACCATCTGAAGCACATCATCGCTATTCAGAGGAAGTTCTTCCGCAAACTGGTGTTACTTGCAAGAGCTGTGACCCAGGTTTTCTGCTTTGTGAAAACACCACTGTGAAATGAAAATATTATCCAAAATAAAAAAAGAATTTAAATCCTTTTGAATGTGAAGTCTATTTCCATAAAATGGACAAGTTTAAAGTTTGCTTTTCTTATCAATTAATGTAGTAGTAGCAGTATATATATCAGAATAAAGTGACAAAAATTATTTTGCAGCAGGAAATTGGAATGCTGTAGTTTGTGTCTTCAGAAAACACTGAACCTTGACAAAACTCATGGAGCTAGCATTTTTCAGTGGAAAAAATGGTCTGTAAGGAAACTCTAATTACTTTGCCCAATCTACTTTTCACCAGCTGGCAAATTTTATGACTGAAATACTTCTGACTCAATGTTTATATAGAACTGGAGACAGACACAGCATGAGTGTGCCATGGCTGATTACTGCACTAGTCAGAGATGACATCAGGTCACAACCTGAATCCTTGTCCCCTCAAGCCTTTACTGGTTGCATCAGGATGATAAATTGCTCTGTCATCCCATTATTTTTTCTCTGCATACATGTTTTCTGGATTTCATTTTACCCCTGCAAACAAAAGGTAAAAATACTTAATTTCCACTATTCAGATCTAATGTTAGAGAAGAGCATACGACTAGTCCTGTGAGCATGTTCATAAAGGTCTGCTTGCATGCCATGGCACATCATACCGCTAGTTCTTGTGTAAAAGGTCTGGAAAAACATTCATCAGCTGAAATGTCTCCTCTTTGTTGCCAGGGTGTTCAGTTCATCTGCACAAGCACATGGTCAGTGTGCTTCCACTTCCCTCTGGCTACATGTAGTCATCTGATATGTAGTGAAATAAGCCAAAAGCAGAAGCTATTCAAAAAGATAATGAGATGTTATTGCTGGACGTAGAATCATAGAATCAAGTAGCTTGGAAAAGACCTTTAAAATCATCAAGTCCAACCGTTAACACCAGGACTGCCAAGTCCACTGCTAAGCCATGTCTCTTGCTGTAAAATAGAAGAATCCCAATGTATAAATGATTGTAATGGGAGTCAGCTTTTGGGGGGGGAGCAAAACACCATTGCCATCTCCACTGCACCCATGTATATTTCCTAAGACAAGTCATTTTAAAGCGTTCTTAACTATGAGTGCTGGGGCTGCAGTACAATCTTCTAGTAAGAGTTCAGAGGATCAGCAGCTGAACTGATCTTATGACTTACGATCATGAAAAGAGCATAAAAATGCTGCTTGCAATTGCAGAGGACAGAGATCTTTTCCAGTCAAACTGTCCTATTTTGAAGAAGAGAAGAGATGGAAAGTTTCTGAATAGAAATTAGAAGGTGTTAGCAGCACTGTACACAGAGGATAGCTGTTACACTGCTGAAACTTTTCTGCCATGGTACTAGCAGGCTAAGATGTGGCTCAGACTCCTTCACTTAATGGTAAATGCAGTTGCTTCAAGAAGAGGCCCCTGATATTTATCCACACACTTTCTGAAAGGCAGAAAGATCTGCAGGCAGTTATGAATTTGTTGATGTAAGTTCATAAGTTGGCTCGTTTTCAGTAATTTCTTTCAGTCCTTGCGTAACACATCCTGTTTACATTCCAAAGTTTTACCATGTTATTTGTCTTTAAAGCAGACCAGTCATCCTGGTTACATTCATATAAACCCAATCCATGCCTTTGTACTTTCTATCTCATGGGAATGAGATGAGCTATGAAAGTGTAAAAAGGTTAAGCAAACACAACTGTGTCCCAAGTATGGTTTGTACCTATGTAATTCACAGTAAAGTATACTCTGTTACTATAATATAGGAATACCAAACCAGAGCCTGTGAACAGGCTAACTTTATTTTTAGTGAAAAGTGAAATATAAGCATCTCTCCTTGTTCTTATGACAGTCCTTTGTGCTCCACAAGAAGAAGATTGACCCTGTATTTTTGGAAACACTGACACGGTGATCCATAGTACTAGATCTTGAAGTTATTTTGGTTATGAGGATAAGTCTAACATCAGTCTAACAAGTGTTCTGAAATGTCTGTCTTTGATTAATGTTTTAACATTCACTTGCTCTTTTTTTAAGTTGGGTTCAAGGATTCTCAAACAAGAACTTTGGCTTTATCAATAATCAAACTGTCTGCTACCCTTGTGGCAATTACATCCTCTTCCTGGACATTGAAACAAAGAAGACGACAGCACTGCAGTGTCAGGCTGGCCAGGTGGGAGCCTTCACAGCGAATGGGAATAGTCACGTGTTGGCCTTTTCAGACCGGAGGCTGAATCCCATCATATATATCTACACATTTCCAGAGCTCACTAAACTGACGGAATTAAAAGGTAATGATGTGGTAGTCCTTCCTGTCACTCTTTCATTAAAACAATGCTTAAATCATCCGCTTTCTGAAGGGGGTTTATTTATAAGACTTGAAAAACTGTGACCAGAAACTGTCTCATGACAAGATGTTTGGAAAGCAGTGGAATGAATTTTCCACTGCACTACTTTTAGTTAGGCTTAAGCTAGGGAGGAAAAGGACAGCACAAAATGGAGCTGTTCTAAAGGGAAAACAAATGGAACTAATTTTAGGAAAATGTAGTCAAAATCAGAAGAAAAATCATACTGCAGTAGGCTCCAAGCAGTCTACTGAAACCACATTGGCAAATCAGAGATGTGAGAGGAATGAGGGCTCTTGCAGACAAATCCTGGAATCTGGGAATTTTTTTTGCCTGCATCATAACATTTCTCTCCTTAGTTAAGCTGCTTATCTTACCCACGTTTCAGTTTCCTTGCCATTTAATAAGTTTCATGCTACTTGCTTTTTTCCTGTATATGAATCAAATTATGACTGCAAAGGATTTCAGGGTACTTGGGCAAAAAATAGTTTAAAAATCCAAGATATTCTTGAAAAAAATTGAAAAATCTCCAAGCAGTGATACATGGGGAATATTTTTATGAGAAAATAAAAAATATAATCTTAGTGAAGCAAAAAATCAGAGGTCTCAAGAATGTTTTTGAAGAGTTAAAGTGGATATGAAGGAGCTGAGAAGAGTACTCTTAGCTAGGATAGTGTACAATAAAGTCCAGGGCAATTGGAGACCATATTCTTTACTTTAACATTTCAGGTAACGCTCAGCTGGACTATACCTTGCTTGCATTGAGTTTCAGAGGCCCATATCTAGCCAGTTTCTCTTCCATCCCAGAATTTATTCTTTCAGTATGGTAAGAGTTTAAAATCTAATACCATTTACATTTAATTCATATTTTTGTGTGTGTGCTGTTGTAGCATAAATTAACAAATGTGGAAGACACACTGGTTGCCTTCATCTCCTTCTTTTCGCTGATTGATCATTGTCTGCAACCTTTCTGTACCAAAGTTGGTATTGATTTACTAGCATTAGTAGCCACTACTCAGAATGACTGTTACTTTGCTACAGCTATCTTCTACCTTCTTCAAAGTGTTCAGCATCAGTTAATTACCTGTTCACCCCTGGAAGCTGAATACCATGCTGTTCGTGAAGAAAAAGTTGCCTTCTGAAATGAGGAAAAACATTCTAAAGCCAATTTCTACTTTTTTTGTCCCCCCTGGGTCATTTAGCAGTCCTCTTAATTAATTGTGCTTGATCTTAGTTCTTTCTTACAGTTTTTTTCAGTGATTACACTACCCTGGCTCACTGGGTTACATCATCATTTTCTGCTCATTGTCATGAAAAGGAGGGTTAAATAATACAGTGTGAAAAGTTGGTTCTAACAGAAAGTTAGAATATTTAATTTTTTAAATGGTTCTGTAAAACTATAATCCTTCTCACCTCCGTTGCCAGCAAGCTTGCGCTGACTGTGGAGCCTGAGCACTTCTGCAAACAGATAGGGAGGGTGGAGTAGGAGGAAAGCTAACAAGGACATGTAAGGAATATTCTGTATACTCTCAATTTAATTGTGACCTTTTCTTGTACAATGATTAGTGAAGAGGCAGAAACTCCTGTAACTTCAGAATTTTAGTAATGATAGTAGCTAGAATTACAGATGCCTCTTCTTTATTCCTTATGAAGAAGAAGAATGTTTGCTGTGAACTCTGATTACATAGAGTAATTCAGGAAGGATGACTATATATATTGCAGTAGAAACCAACAAGACAGCCTCACTGGCCTGAAGAGCTTACATGTTTGTCACTTAGAGCAGAAATAACACATGTGATCTAATGCGTTCATTGTGTGCACTTGAACAAAAATCCACCATCTTGAAAAACTTCTTTAAATTGTTCTTAAAACTGGAAATATCTAGAAATGTTTAAATGCTTTAAAGTAGTGGTAATTCCCAAGGCCAAACAAGTTAAACCTATTTGAATCAGCATGAGTATGACTATCAGCAGCTAACTGTCATGAAAGAACCATCCCAGATTCCAGTCAGAAAGAATTTAGTAGTAAAATGGAATTACCTTACAGCATTTAACATAGAATTTATAATAACTTGAGCTCTGGTCAAGTATGTGAAATTACTGTAAGATCAGGACCTCTATTTTTGCAATTGGATTATATTGTTCATTCACTGTACAAATGTATGTGTACAGATGAGAGAAATCTCAATGTGTAATTGCAGTATAATAATTGCAGAGTTCCTGTATTTTAAGCAGTTCAGAATCAGAGGTATAAAAGGTGTTTTGAAAGGTATGTCAGTCTCAAAATATAGAAAGCTTATGGATAACTAAAAGCTGCCTTTCATCTGAGATATTTTATCCCTAGATCTTTATTCTGTTCTGTTCAAAGGGGAGGCTTAATGCCAGATTCTTTTTCAGATACATGTACTATATAGTTTCAGATCTTAGTATTTTATCTACTAGAAAAGAGTGTTGGCACTATCTGTTAGGTATGAGATGAGAACATGCTGACAGATCTTTAGAGAAAGAGCTATACTGATATCTTTTAAAGTCGGGATTGCAGCTTATAGCTTTCTGTAATTTTAATGAGAGTTTCTGTGTATGTGTGAATACTTCTCATTTTTTGCATATGCCATCAGTATTAACCATTGTCTTGCATCCTGACCTGTTTATGTGAGTGAATTTATTACAGGCTAGAAAACCAGGATTATACTAAATCCATTTACAGCAGTGTATGCATTTTAGGTTTTGTTTCCTCTCAGCAGAAAGATAAATACTAAAGCTGTAAATGTTATTTAGATTAACAGTCAGATATTTCATCCAATAAATTAAGAAGCAGTTTTAACCATTTGCTTCAAATGATGTTAATCAGTTCTTGGACAGCACCTAAAAATGCAAATGCAATCAAGAATTAATCTAGATAATGGAGAAATACAATTATGAGAACATAAAATAGGTTACACTGGACAAAAGGAAATTCAGCAGAAAGCAGATTCCTAGCCTTGTGTCAGCTATACATAACAGCCCTACACAAATTCTGCTGCTCATGTTAGTTAATGCAGCTGTAGCTTGTGTATTTGCATTCACAGCACAGTTATTGTATTACCTAAGTAATTAATCCATAGACAATCAGGGGCTGACTGTGGTTTATTTCCTAATAATAATACCTCCCAACTGCTAGCTTGCAAGCATTGTAATCATGGAAAAGCATGGGTTGGAAAAGCAAGGCTGAGGTCTGGAGTGCTAAAGAGTTGATTCGGTCATTCAAGTAGTCACTGATGGAAAAAATCCATGTCTCATGAGTCTGTTGGTCTTTTCACAAAAGGAAGTGCATGATAAGGTTTCTAAAATGTCAGTTTTCAAAATTATTTTGTTATTCAATCTTTTTGTAGCAGTAATAATTTTTGGTATGGCTAATTAACCACCTCCTTTGCACTCTCACGAGGACCTAACTTGTTTGACAGCAGAAATTTTTTGTCAGTGTCATAATATTTCTTTTCCAAACTTGAGCTTAAAAATCAGTCACAACCACATCCAGATCTTTAGCAGGAATGTTTTTGACTTATTTAATGGATTTGATTTTCTTTTACTCTCCTTAATGAAGGAACTGGCAAGAAAATATCCTCCTTTGCAGCGAGTCTCAGCCAGGGGTAACAGCGACATCTATGAGTTTTAACCCTATGAATTGGCAACAACTCTGTCTTGTTGATGAGAGCAATGTTACTGTCTGGCATATTGAAAGAAATAATGATGAACATCATCTGAAGCAAAAGTAAGTGGAAGACCCTTTAGGTTAAGAGAAAAATCTAGTTGTTTATTTTAATAACTAAAACTAGCAACCTACATCTGTTCTGAAAGAATTTAATCCAATTTAGTTCACCAAGCAGTTGCAATCAGTAATTGCTAAATCACCACCAGTGTGGATCTATCTGGTAAGTCAAGTTAATTGAATTTATGATTTAATTTCTTAGCACTCACATGTCCAGATTATGCACATCATGAAGCTAATACTAATCAACTGACTTGGCAGCCTCCATCAAAAGCTGCATAACTGAATTAAGGTAGTACCTGGACTACTTTCCTGAAAGTGGCTATGTTGAGTATTGCTTTTGTAGCTATGAAATCACCACATTTGGATCAACTTTCTTCCTAGTAGGCATAGTTAAACAACACGCTATTTTATTCGCAAATTATACCAAAAGCAGTATCAGTTTTCTGTGCAATTTCCACCTTGTGTGGCCAATTTACTGATGGCTCTGTCAATGCAATTCGCTGAGCACAGCAAACCTAGAATTTATTTATGCAAAAATGGTTTTTGAGGTTGGTATAGAACTTGCAGGTTAACTATGAATATATTGCCAACTATTGCCATATACTAGTGAAAGTGTAGACAAGGCCTTAATTTGAGATCTGAAAAGGATACTGAAGGGGTTTTTGCCTCTTGTCTGTATAGAGTACACGTGAAAATACACGTATTCTCCTTTCCTTCTCCTCACTTTTCATTCTGTTCAGTAGAGGCATTGTAACAGCTACTCATAACACCAATTTCTGGATTACAGCAGGCAAATAGTGCTACTAATTTTTCATCATCATTAAACTTTCTGCAAGTAAACATTAAGCACGAATCTTCACAGTGTGTGCAAGTTAAGAGTGTGACTTTACTAATCCTGGTCAATAAGGAAACAGTAACATAGAATGGTTGTTTATACAAGGCAACAAGAAAAGGCTGAGCTAGAACATGGCAATCTGTTTCTGTGCATTAGGAATATTCCTCTTTTGTAGTAGCCTTACTTTTCAGTAAAATGGTATGTGCTGTGTGGAATGATTATCTACAACAGTCCTTCATTACTCTCACAGAAGCAAATCCCCTTAAATGAGATGGTGTCTCAAACTTTTGAAAACCTGCTTCTCAGTTTTGTATCAACCTTTACTATTCATATTATTTCTTGTCCTCAGACAGTGTCTCTTGCTTTTTCACAGCCCTGTGGAACTCCCTGATGCACAAGGGTCGGTGAGTCATCGTACGGATTTGTTTTTTCCAATTTCTTATGATGAAGACCCATACTACGGCCCTCTTTTACCAGTTTCAGCCATTGCTGGACTGGAAGGAGATGAAGCAGAAACATTCATGGTAATTACTGGGGTGTTTTTTTTCCCTTTTTACTATTCCAAGTCATTATACTTTTTAATGCAAATAGGTGTTAATAATTTAATGTCTGTTAAACAGGTACAGGCCAGTAAATAGATCTGTTGTCTCAACAATGCTTTTTAAATCCATTTTGACAGGAGACTTAGAAATCATGCTGCCACTGCACAGGTCCTAGCATAGTCATATATCTGCACAGTGGAGGCACTAATCTGTATCCCAGAAGCAGTATAAGCATGTCAGCATTTAACCATGCCCAAGTTAATGTGCCCTGCCGAAACCCTGGAAACCTATTCCCATGCTAAACTGATAGTAACCTTCAGGTATCCTTATTTCCCTTTGGGATTTGTTTTCTTTTTGGCTGAAATGTCACAAGCTATGGAAACATGAGAGGCTTTGTTCCAAACAGCAACCTCTGCTTCTGAAATACACTCCAATACCACTATCAGTGTTGGGCTTGCCTGTTTGTCTCGCTTTGTATTTGATTATTTACTTGTTAGCTTCCCTTGAGATGCCTATTTTGAGAGACCTTAAAACTGTTCCTGCTTTCAAATTTACCTTCACTTGATTATCAGCCAGAAGCATCTGCCAGTGTGAAAACATTCAAGTTGCAAATCTGGGATTCTCTTCTAAGATTAATACCATCAATTTCTATGTGGTGACTTGTGATATGTAAGAGATACCCAAACTACCACGTGTAAGATGTTACTGGCATTATACTATGTCTTTTCATTGGATAAATGTGAGTTCTGTGTTATCAGATTAGGATACCACAGGTTTCTGCCATAAACTTTTCTTATAAAGCAAAATAAAAAATGAAAAGAGGGAATGATGCTTTCCTGACCTCATCATCTTTTCATGCATTCAGATTTCACAGAGGTTTTTCACCGTGTACCTGCTGATACCTTTGGTTTCCAGAACAATCAGTAATTACAAACAAACGTTATCTATTGATTCTGTTTACACATGAGCTGCTTTTATTTCAGATTACTTAGAACACGGCAAATTAAAACTCTCATCAGGGGCATTGCCTTTTTCTTCTGCCTTGCTGCCTCTTGCATTATGTACAGATGATGAACTGCAAAACCCACTTTGTTCTTTAGCCTGTAAAGTGAATTACAAGAGGTATTGGGGAAAAAAAAACCCCACAACTACCATGTTAGGTCTCTGAGGCTTAATTTCTTTTTCCTGTCTTTGAATGGGTGCTATTCCGTTCAGAAGTGCTAGGTTCTTCTGCTTGAACTTGCAGAATCATGTCATGAACTTTTCCACATGGAAGGTCTGTGCTCTCAACCATACTTGATTGAAAAGGTTGGGCAAGAGCTTGAGCAACCTCATGTAGTGGGAGGTATCCCTGCCCATGGCAGGAGAGTTGGAACTAGGTGATCTTAAGATCCTTTCCAACCCAAACCATTCTATGATTCTACACTAGAAAACACTATAAGGTCCTTGCATTCCTAACTGCCTTCAGAGAAACCTAGGTTTCTTTTTTAGCACCTTCAAGACGATCATGTTCTCTTTAGAAATATTCCTAGAGTAAGAGAAGATTGTTCTACTAGTCTTTGATGAAGATTTCCTTTTCTTTCAAATTGCATGATAAATATTTTAGTAATTATTTACTGTCCAAATTCCATAGGTGTGTGTATTTAGGTTGAGAATATTGACAAGATAACAAACAGGTTCTTTAGGAAGGAAAGAATTTAAGTTAGTTTGGTTTGGGGTTTTTTTTCAGAAATACATGCTGCTGTTGTTCCGTTTGTTCTTGTGGTGCTATGTTGTTTCCCGTAAGTTGTGAGGTGCTGCACTTACATTTAGCACTAGGAGAGGCTGAACCAATTTCCTGCATGTTTTCACCTTGCTCCAGACTATAATAGCTGAATAATTTTTTGCAGGACTTGCATTTATTGTGCCTTACAGCACTGACTCTCCCCTCCATGCATGCCTGTATACATATGTTCCCTCTCTAATCTAGCAGAAAAAACTGAGCCACCACTGGGTCTTGTAACCCCCCACACTGGATATGCATATGTCTTATCAGGTTAAACACCCTCTTCCAGCACCCCAGCACAGAACATATGGCTTTGGCAAAGCAGTTCCCACACAAGCTGATGAGAATATACTTGATGGAGAAGATACTCCTTTGAAGTACTGTTTTATCAAGACCCTTGTGTTGAAAAGTGTCTAATGCAGCAACTTTGAGAGAGATTGAAATGACTGAACTTGCTGTGTTCCTTAGATATCCATATATCTTCCGATTACAGTTGCTGTAATGGACAAGGCTGTCCATTATAGAGCTGCTGTAAGTACTGTTCTTCATTGTCTCTGTACATTGACAGGCTGCTGTGGCAGATGTATCAATAGTTATTAGCACTAATAGTTTGTGTACCATTACAAATGTCCATGAGCAGTTGTCTAATTCTGGCCTAAAATCTGTGCCTCAACATTGGTCAAGGAAAATAACCTTTAAGTTATTTTCCTCTCTCCTGTCATCAGTGGTTTTTCGATTAATAAGAGACATCCTGCTTCTCCTGTGGTGGTTCATGAGGTGCATTCAGCTGAATGCAGTGGGAATGGTATCATGGCCTGACAAAGGTCTGCCTATCTCCATAGTATTTGACAGAAGTTTTTTTGTTCTTTATCACAAAATCTGAGCCAGTTGAGATCAATGTTTTCCATATTGATGTGAGCATCCAAAGTGGAGAACCATTCATTTATTTAGGCTATTATTGAAAGGAGCTGTCCTCAGCCTACATTACATCATCCCTGGAGGCTGTAGCCCACTCCTAACGGATGCTTGAGAGGCAAGTAAGAAAAGCAAGCCCGTTGCCAGTGCTGTTGTTTGCTTGTTTGAAATGCTTAGGGTTCCATACTCTGGAACAAGGTTATGAGGCTGGGTACGTACCAAGGTGTAACCACAACGGGGCAGCAGAGTGAAAGGAATTGGAAGCTCCTGCTGCTTTCAATCCTCTGCTTTCTTCAACGAGATTGATTTAGTTTTGTTTCAATATTCCTTACAATTGGCACGTGGGTTTTCTTTAACATGATTTACCATGGCAAGCCCACTTAACTCCACTTCTTCCCTAGGACCATTTTATTACAATTGTCTTTTAATAAAACTTTTCATATCAAGAATCCATAATGGATATTTTTTCCCTTGAAGAAACTATCTCCAGACATAGATTTTCTGGAAAATGTTTTTGTTTCTCAAGTTACAAGCCTCAGTGAACACATGACTGAATAAAGTAAGGATGATGTTGTACAAGTGCTCAGACTCTTTAAGTTAATGATCTTTTAATTTTTTGCCTTAAAATGTATGTAACTGCTTGTACAGATACTTGCCAGTTGTTGGCTGAATTTGTTTCTTTTTGTGCTGCAGCCTAGAAATTATATCAAGCCTTTACTACATCCCACTGCCCACTGCTGGTCTGCAACCTCAGAAGTTTATGTGGGCTGCAAAGAAGGATATGTTTTAGCAATTGATTCTGAGACATGCAGTGTTTCTGTTCTTCAACAAAAACCTCTGCCTGGTAAGAAATAGCTGCATTGTGTGTTTTATTCAAGTAGTGAGGAAAGTGGATTTTTTGCTTTCTTCTGTTCTCCTATTGTGTACCTTACAGAGATTGTAAAGCTATATTGTAGAACCATATTTCTCTTAGTAGTATGATAAGCATTTGAAATATCTTTTGAGCTTCTATTTGGGTTTCTTTTTTGGCTTTCGTTTTTATCAAAACTGATAAAATGAACAATATTTCTAGAAGCCCAGATCTTATTAACCAGTCCTACGAGATTAATGTTAAATTATTAACATACCAGCTGTACACAGTCTTTTTACTATTAGGTAAGTACCTAGACTTTATTTTATTTTTCATTAAATATTGGATTGTCCTCATTTGGTGTGTTAGATGATGTTAGAACATATCTTTGAAGACTCATTATAAGTCTTCAAACAACAATGCTGAATTTAAGGTAATGTTGCTTAATAGAATGCCACATGGTACCCTTCTGTGCCCATTCAGAGCACTCCCAAGATGGAGGACAGTGAAACACAGCTGACATAAAATGTTTCAGCAGTGGCAGCCTATATGTATCATCATTTGCAGGGATGGAAGGTGTCAGTCCAACTGTGTACATGAAGTTCCCTGGTTCAGTCAGGTCTAAGAGGAGTATTGGAATATGATTCTCCCTAGCACTACAACTGGGTAATATCCTGATTTAGACCAGCATAGAACTGTTTCACTATTAAACACTGAATCAGACTGGATATGAGGAAAAATTTCTTCACTAAAAAGGTTGTCAAATACTGGAACAGGCTGCCCAGGGAACTGGTGGAGTCACCCATATTTAAAAAACCTGTAGATGTGGCACTTAGGGACATGGCTTGGTGGTAGACTTGACAGTGTTAGGTTTATGGTGATGATCTTAAAGGTCCTTTTCAACCTAATGACTCTATGATTCTATTATAGACAGGCTGGTGATAATTTGTTTTCTTGTTTTGTCATGTAATACATGGGTTTTTAAGCTGCAGCAGGTTTCCCTGACATTCCCAAAGTGCTGTAATAGTTAACACAGAAATGGAAGGCTGCTTTTAAAAATACCCTAACAAACCAGCATTATTTCTCTGCTTTTGAAATTATCAGAGTTTTAAGCTTACCAAATCAAGAGCTGGAAATCATCAACAAATAAAAAGCTGAGGTGTAACCAGAAATGTTTTTGGCACTTCAGTGGAAAGAAACAAGAATATTTGCCATCTGGGCTTTTCATTGACCTGTATATTCTTCTTTGAGTTCTGTCCTAAAACTGTCTAACAAACACAACTGTCTCTATTCGTATTATAATGAACCTTCTGCTTAATATAAAGCATACTGCAACCTGTATCTGTTTAGCAGAATGCTTACGTGCATGCCCAGCTTTAAGCACATGCTAAATTCCTATTATGGTGTTGCAAACAGAACCGTAAGTGGCCACAGCATTTCACTTGGGCATCTTTATGAGGCTGATGGAAGTTTCCTTCGTAAGTACATCAAATAAAAAAAAACAAACCCATGGTTAGAAATAAGAATACCAGCACTTAGCACTAGAAGATATATAAATCTGCATCTGTACCACTCTCCATGCCAAGTATTGCTATCCCCTTTTACAGCTGTGAGCTCAATCATAGAAAGATTGTGCCTGCTCAGTTGCATAAATGACAGAAATGGTGGATGTTGGGGAGGATTTAGTGTTCTGAAACTGGGCTATCGTTTGGTATGCAGCTGACTTTTACTGCAATATTGACATATAAACAAGGTTGATGTTATAAGTTGTTTTCTTTTGTGCAGATCACCTGCGTAAAATGTCGGATATCGTATCTTATGTTCATAAAGAAGTACAGAGAAAGAAAGGTATTTCCATGTTCAAATTAAGCTAATAGCACCACTGATGTCTATGTCTGGGAGTAATAATATGAGAGTACAGCTGGAAGCCACTGGTTAGAAAAACCCTGCTCACACTGGCCTCTGTAAGACACATTGATGGCAATTTTTATATGTTTACATGACAAATGATCAATAGCTTTTGTGATAATAGACAGCCAAATGAATAGCCTCAGGAAAAACAGTGGCAGTGAAATAATTTCTCTTCATTCTAATTTACATTGGAATAAGGATGTTAGAATAGGTTCCCTACTGCTTAGTTTTAATAACTTTTTTTTAGAACTGCAGTCACTTGAAACTTAGTTGACTTAGTATTTAGGGAGTTGTTTCAAACACTGTTTTGGGCTCCACAGTAGAAAAAAGATATTCACATAACGGAAGAACTTCAGCACAGGGCCACAAAGATTATTGCAGTGTCTCAGTACCCAACACACAAAGGTAGGCTGAGAGAACCATGTTTGTTCAGCCCAAAGAAACAAAAATGGGGGATTTTACTATTGCTTTACCTACTTAATAAAAGGTTAGGAGAAAATGGAACCAGACATACTTTCACAGTGTAAGTACTCAGACACTGGGACAAGTTGCCACGAGAAGCTATGCAAATTCCACTCTTGGATATATTTAAACCTCAGCTGCACGTGACTCTGGACAACATTATCCAACTTTGAAGTTGGCTCTGAGTTTGAAGTTGGCTCTGTGCTGATCATGAGACTGGATCAGAGGACTTCTAGGGTCCCTTCCAACATAAATGATTTTGCTATTGACCGACTTTAACGCGGCTATTTAGCAGCCTTTACAAAAGTCAAATGATTTCTCAAATTTCTAGTTCACCACAGTAGTACTGTCACTTCAAATTATGTATATCAACCTTCTGCTTCATTATCACACCAAAAGTCCGAAGAATATTTAGCCCACAAAGCCTTTTTACTCACAAATAGTAAATCATCTCAGTTTTGAAGTTGAACCATTGTTGCAATAAATCAACTTTGATGTTTTATGTTGGTTTTGTGCTCTCAGGTGATAAACCAACAGATCTGCAAAAACCGGTTTTATTTGGCATGGCATTTTGTAACGAGGGGCTGTACACAGCTGGAAGTGTAAGGCATCTTTTATGCTTTTAGCTTACTGTGTGAAAATCAAAGAACGTTCAAATGGAGTCTATTTGCAGAGTTCACCACAAAGACAAGAGTTAGAAGAAAAGTGGAGAGCTGCAGAACTATAAGGGTCCTCTATGATGTTGTCTGTATTTTCTTTGTTAAGACTTGAGATAAGAAATTGGAAGGGAGCAGGGTGGGAAGGGTTTCTGGTTTTGTGATCAAAGAAGCAATAAAAGAGGACAATCTTTCTTTTAACAAAAGATAATGAGTATTCTGGAGCAACAGAAAAGGAGGATGGACAAAAAGCAAGAGAGAAAATGGCTGAGGGAGCTGCCAAATTGTTTTGTTCAAGTCTTAATTCAATATTTAACCCAAACTGACAATACCATTGTACATTACTGCTTAAGAGTGGGACAAAGTCTCATACTGTATCAAAAAAATCAATATGAAATCTGAAGAATTAACTGATGAAAGAGTCTGTTTTTATCAGGCATGGACTGTTACTAAGACTTGTATTAAAGAATACCTTAATTTTTCAGTAGATTTATTACCCAGGGTAAAAACACACTGGATTTAAATACACTAAAGGCAAATGAGTCTGTTAGTGATGGGATACAGTTAAACACTGTTAGTTTAGAGATCTTACAGAACTTCTTGAAGTTCAGTTTGCCATAGATATAACCTAGACCTCATGTGGATTTGTATTTTTCTGCACAGGAGGGCATTTTGTTCTTTTATCAAATCAAAGGTCTGCAGTACGAGATGAAAATTTATGCTGATATCTTACAACCCATATCCAGCCTCATATTCTCCCCTGATTACACTGTACTTCTGCTTGTCACTGACCAGGTATAGCATTTGAGATAATGGCATGATATAGTGGGATGTTCCTGTGATGCTATATGTGTATGCTGATATCATTAGGCTGAAATGTCTGTAATCTAATCACACAAGTCACAGATTATATCAGAGGCGAAAACAGCTTGTGTTTTTTAATGAAAGATTGGAAAGGCTTTTAATGAAGCACAGAATATTTGTCTCCTACAGATGGTGAATTATATAGTATCTAATACTGAGATTTCCCAACAAAAACACTTGTGTGTGTACAGCGGAGTAACTTTAGGGTCTGCAGTGTGTTCAGGTCACATTGGACCAACTGAGCATGAGCTCTTCTAGGCTTGATGTGTGCCTGCCCAGTAAGAAAAGAGTAGCTTGTGTACATCAGACCTACTGTGGCTGTGCAGTAGAGTTGTTCTGTTCATAAACCTGAATTCATCTGGCAACCCAGTCCAAGATCCTTCTTTGACCATCTTGATGTACAGGAATTTACACAAGGGTCCCAAATCCTGAAATTCTACCTTTCTTGCAGACCTTTAATCACTGAAATTGACATTTTTAAAGCTCTTAAAATGTTTTTTGTATGTGTCAGGAGGTTCCATATTCAGGACAGCAGTGCAATGATAACTTCAGTCACACTGATTTCATTCTCCTTTTGTAAAATAAGATGATCTAAAATCTTTGTTAAAGTTAGTTATGAATTTTTTCCAACAGGCTTTGAGATTTTTAGATAAAAATGTCTCTTAAAGCTTAAGATTTATGATATGTATTTTATATTGGCTTAGAATATTTATTGATTCCTGGAGTGACATGAAATAGAGTGGCTTTAAATTATTTTATTAAAGCAATTTTGAGAAGCAGAACTTCTTGAAAATGTGACTGGCTGCATCACTCTAAAATGAACTAACCTAATCTTCAGCTAGCGTCAATTAATATAATCCATTGATTTAATGAGAGTTCTGCTGGGCACTTTTTACCTCAGTTTAGAGTCAGATATAAAACTTTAAAGAGTGAAGCTTAGAAAGATGGCTATTTTTTTGTTGAAGTCTTCAGAAGGTCTTAATGAAAACTTTCATAGGCCAGTGATGAATTATTTCTCTTTTTTTTCAGGGGACACTCTATACTTACAAACCTGCACATACTGGAGAAGCTGTCAAAATCCTGGACACATGCAGAAGTTGTTTTCTGGCAGCTGATTTTCTTCCAGGGAACAAGTACTGTGTGGTAAGAAACAGTATTCTGTTTTATATATAATAGTGGCTTTTTTCAGGTAACCAGTATGTTGCTAAGGCGCAGAACCTAAAGCGTTGCAGAGATTGGGACTGTTCTGATATTTGTTATAGAAGTAAATGGCATTAATTCAGGTATGGTCTATAAAAGGGTCAGAACTTGCCCTAGAATGCAGGGTAGATAATTCACAGATTGCTAAAATGTCATATTGGTTCTGCTGCTGATTTGTGTGACTCACTATGTTCAGGAACATAGCTGAGCAAAAGGTGTATTCAGTTCAGGAAATAGATGTTGGAACAAGAAATTCCTACTTACCTTTTCAGCCTTCAGCACAAATTGGACCAGCCTGAGAGATGCCTCTATTCTGGGTCCAGGTACAAAAAAGGTCTTCCTCATCTGTCCATTATGAGAAACTCCTTGCTTTCCTCCTATGTCTTTGACTCCTGCCAGACATACTTTAGCCAGCAGTTCATCTCGAGGCCATTAATTCTTCAAGTAGCCAGCCTAGGAACCTGGGGTCTTAATCAATTAGGTTTGCTGAATCTGTTTGTTTGCTGTTAACATGGGAATGGCAGATTTTACTTTACTCTCAATGAACAATGTGAGGGTTGATTGATCTCTAGCTATACTTTACTGTGGAATTAGAAAAATGCCTGTATAAAAGAACTCAAGCTCCATTATGATATATATCTTTTTTCATGTGGGAAAACAAGACCTGTTCTTAAGTGCTTTCTTATGCAAAGAAAATTATAAACAGGTTTTCCTATTGCTGGCTGAATGGTGGAAGTGCTAATATTGATCAAGCTTACATGTTTTGTCCTAGATTGTCTCATTCTGCTTAAAGACCATTCCTGCGACCTGCAGCAATTAACAAAAATTGTTATATGTTTTCCTTAGGCAGGTGCACCTTGCAGCAACTGGGCTTAATGAGAAAGCAAGATAATTGCAAGCAAAACTAGTGGCCTTTGATCTGCTATGCTCAGACATTAGCTGAATTTATATTCTGTAGGAGATCACCAGTCACTTTCAGGCTATTTGTTTATTCCACCCTCTTTTGTGTTTTTCTCTCTTCAACAGTCTGTAACAATTTCAGGTGAAGTACAAGTTTGGTTGCTGAAAGATGGAACTGGCCTCAGCAAGCTAAATCTTAATGTTCAGGTACATGTAACCAGGAGCTTATACAGTGACTGATACTTAGTTTTCTCTAATATTTTTCAATTCATAGCATAATATTCCACAGATTTGTATCAAACAGTGATAAGGAAAGCTCAGTAGTGTCTTCAAACAACCCATGAAACAGATTAAAAAAAGATTGTCTTTCAGAATGTTTCCTTGAACTAATTTTGTATTTAACCCAGCCATAAAGGACAGTAAACATTTCAACCTAATGTCCTCATGATCTGTCTTTAAGCACATATTTGTAAATAATCACAATTTTTATCGTATTACTTCATTACCTTTTAATTTTAATGAGTGTCATAGCCAAAAGAAAAGTTTCAGGTGTATAAAAACTAAATTCCATGACTGATCTGAAAAGCAGGTTTTAAGAATTAAGTATTTCAAACTGTTAATGCTTTGCCCTGATTTAAGGTGCATTCAAACTCTGAAATCTGACAAAGTAAGAAAAAAAATCACTTTCTGTTACAGCTGTACATGTAACAATGCAGTCACTGTTTTATTTAGGTGGAATTTCTTTCACTTAAAATCTGGATAGTAGATTTACTTTTATTTTCTGAGGAGCACAGATTGCCTGTTGATTTGTAGACACACAGCATAGGTAAAATCCCTGTGATGTCTCTAAAACTTTCTTTGTTTGCTTTTTAGATAAATCATTTCAGGTTTCTTCTCCAAATTTTTTTAAATAGTGAAAGAAAATGGGTACTGACATGTGGGATAATATATAGACACGAAACTGTTACGTATCTTTTACTTCTCAACTAGGCAACGGCTATGGCTTGCTGTCCCTCCTCCAACAGCGTTGCTGTAGGGACCAAAAGAGGTCAGATCTATTTCCTTGATGTTACTGAAGCTGAAGCTCCACGGGTTGTTCACAGAATTTTTGTTTCTGAATTTCCAGTGCTGTCTTTGCAGTAAGTGTCTCATTACAAGGGCAGGACTATTGTCAGTTTGTTGCTTGAGTAATGCTCTTAAACAAACAAAAAAAAGTTTTTATTCTAAAAATAACAAATAAAAATATTTTAACAGCTTCAATTGCTTTAATTGCTTGCAAGAGGAGTAGTAGCAAGATTTGATATGAGAAAAACAGAATAAAACCTGTATTTTAAGAAGCTTTAACTGTGCACCAAGGATACTGATGTGTAAGATACTTTCTGACAGATCCCCCCCGATGCAGTAATTACACACAATTCCATGTATCTGAATTTAGAGGGTTATTTCTGACTGAATACAATTTTGAAGTTTTATGAAGTTAAGTTTAAGCCTTTTGGTCATCCGTTCTTATATAATGGATTTTTATTACCATTGCTAGTTACTCATTTGCTTACTGTTTCAGAATTTAGATCTAGTGATCTAAAAGCCCTTTTTGTTTGGCTGGTTTTTGTTTTTCCAGCTATTGAAGAGTCTGAGATTATTTTACTTCTACTTTTCATTAAAAAAATGGATTTTGAACTGTTAAACTTTAATATAAATCTGTGTGTTATTTGGAGACTTAGACATAATCTCTTTTCACAGTTACCTAAGCTAAACCACCAAAAATGCATACAGAAAGCAGCTTATTCGAAGTCAAATCAATGCAACCAAAGACATGGCTATTCAAAATAATATAAAAATCCCTATAGGAGTTTTATTTTTAAAGAAGTGAATTTCAAAGAAAGATGTAATAGAGTTGTTAACACAGATGCTATGGAGTATTGTTAGCTTCAGATTGACCACCCACTCAATTAGAAATTGCACTGGGCTTTGTAACCCAGTATCCTAAAAGCTGAAAATCCAGTTGCATTTATGCCCTCAGTGAAGTCAGCAGAGATATGGGAAAGGAATTATTTGACCATTTTTATTGACTGTATTGAACTGGGTTTTCCTTGGATTTATATTTTACCTAGTTATGATCAGAGGGGCCAGTTCGTCATCGCTAGAGCTACACAAGGACACATCTTTATTCTAGATGCCCGGCCTTCCAAATTATTCGAAGTTCTTGGATATGTAGGTAATATATGTAACAACATTAATTACTTCGTGTTTTCACTATTTATTTGCTGCATTTTAAGCATATTTGCTGGTCAGACTAAGCCACTTTCCTTACCTTTTTTGAAGATTAAACATATTCTTCCCACCTATTTCCCAACCATATTTTGCCCTGGAAAATCTGTATACTTACAGATCGTATTTGTGCGTATAGATCTTCATCATAATTTTAAGTATAAAATACATTATTTTATCATTTTCATTGGTTTGACAAATACAGTATTACATCTCCTTAGAAAATTTTCAGAATTTGCCTGATCATGTTCTCATTGGCTGGCTGGCTTCTTAGAGGAGGCTGTTCTATGCTTTATCTGGCAGTTACCAGCAGACAGCCTCCAAATTGCTACAATTCAAGCTGCATGTAAACTCAGATTTGAATGTGTAATGTAATAATAACACACTGGTGCTTAGCATTCTCAGCACTCAATGCCTCAAGCTGAAGTTTTGTGCATGCAGTACTTTCTGAAAACAGGCTGTGGCTTGTCTGATGTTTTAATGCAAGTTCAGAACTGTGTGGTTGACCCAAGATATATCCTAAAGAGAGATCTCATTTTGTTTCACATGGTATCTTAGTGAAAACAATATTACCATGCTTCAGTAACAAATTGCATTGGTGTTCCCTACCTGCTTCAGAGTTGGAAGGTGAAGTGCTGGATCTTTCTGTACTTTCTGACTTCAAGAGCGACTTAGTTGAAGTGGTGGTACTTCTTAATGTAGCAGTGGTCCAGCGGGCAAGACTGGAAACTTTTTGTCTATCTTCAGCACTCGCAACAGGTAAGAGTTGAAATACACACTATGTGGCATTTTTCTAAGACAAGAACATATTGCTATCCCTTAATACAAAATACTAACAATCCCTTTCTTCATCTCATCTGTATATCCTCTGGGGCATCATTTTTCATGCTGTCTGTAGACTTATAGTCAGCTGAATCATTTTGGCAGAAAGACACTGATATTTTGACAGAAGGCTAAGAAAGGAAGGAGAGGAGTAATTCACTTTCAGAATCACAAATCCACCACTTGACTACTACTACTACCACTACTGGTTGTTGTAGTTGTTGTTATTATTATTAATGCTACTATATGGGCAATGCCCAAACTTGGCCACAAAGAGGCCTTGAACTTGGCATCACCCCATGCAGACTAGCATATCAAGTGTTAAGTGGAATCAGCCTCAACAGCCTCTTCAGATAATTATTAAAGGTATATAATATATCATTACAAAAAGTTAAAGGTTGATATATTTTAAAAAAACATGATTACCTGTGTTTGCCATAGCTTTTCTATATAAAAGCACCAAGGGCAAAGTCCGTTGTATATAACAAATATTAACTTGTGTCTGGATAAGGAACCTTGAAGAGACACATTCAATTAAAAAATGGCACTATGGGGAAAAGGGGAGAATTAAGGAGACTTAAAAATGGTGCACTTCCATTCACTTTCTGGAAATCTGGCCCTGTATATCTTCAGTGTGCAATGTACAAATGTACATATTGGGATATCACAGAATAGCTATTCATAATCTGGCAGTAAAATGAAGGGAACTTGTTTGTCTTTCACTAAATCAGGTAACCCATGTTAAATGCTCCAGTACTGTTCATGATTTGTTTTATAAATTCCATGCTCAGCTGCGAAACAACTCAGTAATGTGGTTGTGTCATTCAGGACATAGGTGTAATACAGCATTTTAGAAGTACTAAAGCAAGAAAAAATGGACTTTAGTGTCATGAGTGATCACAGAGCTTTTAATGGTGTCTGATATTCTAGGAATACATCAATTTGGGACACTTTGTGGAATCAGCTGGGAAACTAATTCAGTTGTCATGAAAAGGCTTAAATGCATTAACTAAGGCAGAGTGCAAGCTAATATTGCTCTTTGTGTCCTCACCATGCAGCCAGTACAGGACAGACTTGGTTGGCAGTGGCACCGTATACTTCCAGTTTTATGTCTTTACCATCTGAGAATTGCTAAATCAGTATAGCTTGAGGTTTCAGTGATGTCTTCTACCTATCGTATTAAATCAAAAGGCATTCTGTGTTCATTATTAAAATGCTATTTTTATATCACTTTACTCCTATTATAAGCAATTGAATTACTAACAAAGCCTTTTGCAGAGAAAACTGTAAAATTGTTAGAAAGCCTTATGTCAGGCTTTCTAGTTATTTATATTTAGTTTTTAAGAGGCTTTACAATTTACAAACTTTTTAAAAAGTAGTTTTCAATGAAGTTAGTTTTTTTTTTTAATATTCTCTAATGTTGGGCTTCTTTTTATGCCTATTTTTAGACATAAAATGGGGCTTGATTTTCAAAGTTGCTAAAGATCTACAGTTATTGCATCAGTCTTGATTTCAGGTGTCTCTTTAAAGCTCAAATTAAGGAAACAAAAAGAATAAAATGCCCTTTTGAGGATGTGAATTGTTTTAACCAATACTACCCAGGCTATTTAGGCAAAGATGCCTAAATAAGTTCTAGATGAAGGCAATGATGACATGAACCTCCACACAAACTAATTAGCACTGCTTAAATAATACCCAAGTAGAAGGGTAAATCAGTGCATACAGATTTTCACATCACTGTGATTAAACTGTTTCTAGTACTTCTTTAGAGCTAGGAGACTTATTCTTCTGCTTCACTGCTGTGTGCTACATCAGCCAACCCACAGAGTTAGTGTTAAAGCAAGATAGGTATCTTAATTCCCAATCTCCTCTTTGAAAACTCACATCATGCTCACTCCTTGCTGAGATTGTTTTTTATTGTTACTTTAGAGATGAAGCACCTGCATTAGTGGTAGTGATGCCTCTTCCTGGTTTTTTTTTTTCCTTAATCTTTTAGATAATGATAAGTATGTTAATGCACATGGAATGTTTAATGCTAGTGCCATTAAAATGAAGCGATATGATCTGGATTACTCTCTGAGCTCAGCAGTCAGGTTGAAGGATAACACTGTGTATGGCTACTGCACCTGTGCACCTTTCATCTGTAAATACCGTCTCTCTGAAGAGGTAATTCTCTGACACTGCTTTATTTTGGGTCATGGTTAAATACCAGTGAACAAAGGCTGTGGGTGAAGTGAATATAGCAGGATATTATATTAAATCCCCTGTGCACCAAAAATACCTACTCCATCCATAAACATCAACTTTCAGTATCCTACCACCTACTCAGAAACCTGGCAAAAGCAATCTCTTTTTTCTATTACAGAAAAAGCTAAATAGTTGTTCTTAAAACTCATATGGCTTGCAGGCACTTCACATGTAGCTTCTGTGTTGGAGCTGTGCTTTTGTGCAGTCTGCTGAGTAACCTGAATATCCAGCTATTGAAGGAACTGAGCCAATGTGGGCCTGTGACTCTAGATGCAGCTGTAAACCCAGGCCAGCCCTGCCTTGCAATGAAGTACTGGGGGCTTCAGGAAGCCACTGTCATTGACTGTTGATGAACTTCAGCTCTCTGAAGCTCATAGGTCTCCATCAGTTTAAGAGTTAGGTCAAGCAAGGTGAATTCCAAGGGTGAACATTCCTGTTTGAGATGTCCCTTACTTTCTGAGCCAAGAAACACCAGGCCCAAACATACTGCATACAGACCCTTTTGAAGAGATGAGAATCAGCAGCATAGCAATGGTAATGCTTCCTAAGCTCAGAAATCCAACAACATTTGAAACTGCGCTGCAGGTGATAACCCCCAGGTTCTCACTAGTCTTCTCAAAATGGCATAGATATTGCCATCATCTGAACTGCTTCTAACAGTTTGGCTTTTTTTGGCAGAATATGTCAAAAGATTCATCAGTGTTTTTATCAGAAAAGAGGACTCGTGGCAATCAGTTGGGATCAGGTTTCCTCTGTTTATCACCCAACAGCCGGTGGCTGGCTTCAGCAGCAAAGGATGGTGTTTTGCTCGTCTATGATACCTTTACTATGGTAGGTAGGCACCCAGACACAGGCTTTGTTTGGTTTACATAAGAGGTGTGAAAGCTACATTCTTTTACTGTAAGCTTCTCTTCACTTGAATATAAGGTGTTCCAGAAAAATTTATGTTGAACATGAATTGACATAGAATTATACAGAAAAATTGTTTTTATAATGAATATGTATACAATCATACAAACTGATTTCTTCTCAAATATATCTTAGGCAAATAATTTTATTACTCTTATTTATATTCTGCAAAATAAGTATACTATGAACTTGCACCATCTGTAGTCAGACTTTTTAAACTCATAAATCCTAGTCTTTCATGTACTTTGGATTGACTTTTATCTGAAAGCCAAGAAGTATAATTTAAGCACATATTGTATTAGAAAAACATGTTTGCTGACACTGCTTCTATGACTTTTCTAGGATATACTTGCTCAAAAGCATTGTCACTCACATCAAGGAGGAGGAATCAGATCCGTGGTATTTTCACTGGATGGTAAATTCATCCTCGTTAATGGCAAAAATGATGGTGCCCTGGTGTGTCTGAAATGGAAGTATGTATAAAGTGGCAGACCAATATTGCTGGAAATTCTTTATATCCTGACAGACTAATTTTTGTATCTATTAGTGAATCTAGACTTCCCATTTATTAGCCTGAAAGTAAGGAGAAGAATTGGCTAGATATAAAATCGCTCCTCTCATCCTTAGAGGCTGTGTACCTAGCTCATGAGAAATCTAGTACATTGGGTATGGTTGCAATACAAGATACACAAGTATCTTAGTGTTATCCATAGTGAGTTTCTTACCATTCTCAAATAAACCATCTGGAAGGGGTTCTCTGGGAATGTAAGGGGTGTAATCTCATGAGATACTATTTTAACTCAGTTATTAGGAGACATCACAGCTTTAACGGAATTCAACTTTGGCTATAGAGAACTCAGCAGACATCAGGAGTAAGAGACACTTGAAACTACAACTATATATATTACAGAAATATATAACAATTGTTCAGGTAGATGCACAGATTAAAGATGTCTCTGCCAGAGCAATATTTCTAAACTGGGTAATCCATCTTTTAGAATTTATAGTTCTGTGGAAACCTCATTTAATTCTGCAGTTCTAGAACTCAAACAATACTGAATCATATGTAAAAATATTGACTAGAAACTTTTAAACAGCTTAATAATAATTGTGTTATAAAGATAACAATTAAAAATATTGAATACTTTCTTTGTTCTCCATAATGCATATAAAATACATCTTTTCCCTTTCTGTTAACTAGGAAGTTAAAGAAAACTGAAGTTAAGGAAGCTGCTTCTTACTGGAAATCTCTTCTGGCTATACTGAACAAGTCCACTTCAAATGAAAATGCTTTTTTACGATCTATGTCAGAATGTCAGTTTGATCCAGAATCCAAATTAGGATCACTTCCAGAAGAGAAAGTTAAGGTATTTTCTTTATTGTTAAGCGGGAAAAAAGTTTGATCATTATCCTTAAATTACACATGATAAAAACTGTCCTCTAAAGAAACTCTGATCCTTTAGTAAAAGAATACCCCTGAGGACAGGCTGAATATGCTTAATTATTAATTTGTAGAATACTATTATCAAGGAGATGGAATAGTTATATGAGGATGACATTCAGATCATCAATTTCACTTGGTTTCTTCAGCCACAGAAAACTCAGTGAAAGTCAGTTTCTCCTCATATGAAATTATGTGTCATTCCCAGTGTGATGTCACCGCTATACATTTGTGTGTTACTGGTCATATATTTTTTTTCTGGAATCAGGCAAAGCAGTGATTACAGATATTAGTACAGTCAGCCCATTTCAGTCATCGAATCATAAAATAGTTGGGGTTGGAAAGGACCTTAAAATCATCTAGTTCCAGTCCCCCCTGCCATGGACTAAACCTCTCCAACCTGGCCTTGAGCACTGCCAGGGATGGAGCATTCACAACTTCCTTGGGCAACCCATTCCGGTGCCTCACTACCCTCCCAGTAAAGAGCTTCTTCCTTATATCCAAACTAAACTTCCCCTGTTTAAGTTTTAACCCATTACCCCTTGTCCTACCACTACAGTCCCTAATGAAGAGTCCATCCCCAGCATCCCTATAGCCCCCCTTCACATACTGGAAGGCTGCTCTGAGGTCTCCACGCAGCCTTCTCCAGGCTGAACAGCCCCAACTTTCTCAGCCTGTCTTCATATGGGAGGTGCTCCAGTCCCCTGATCATCCTCGTGGCCTCCTCTGGACTTGTTCCAACAGTTCCATGTCATTTTTATGTTGAGCACACCAGAACTGCACACAATACTCCAAGTGAGATCTCAGAAGGCTTCACATAATAGCAAGGCTTTGCAGGATCAAACTGGGGGGACTGGTTAGGGAACAAAAATGTTGTAATGCTCTGGAATCTGGTGGTGGTCCTACTAATGTGAGTCCACTTTTTATTTCATCTCTGTCTCTTTCATTCTCTCTAAGTATGTGAAATGGATGTTTATATCCTTAATTTCAGGAAGCACCACTTAAATCTTCCAATGTAGAGGTGACAGAAGAAGATGGAAAGATCACCACTTTGTATTCATCTGGAACCATTGACATGACATGGATAGGTCAGAAAATAAAGAAGGTACTTTCATAAAACAAGCATTAATCAAAACCAGAATTTTCAGGAGTCACTAGTGATTTGCAGTGCCAAATTATATGCTGTAAAGAAATCTAGTTTCTAAAGCATTTTTGACATTTGGACCTCTCTTTAAGGCATTGCAGTCTAGACTTTTAGAAATCCTAGCTCAAGGTTCTAAATGCATCAGTGAAAGTAGGTAGCACAATAGGAGCACTGAACAAAAAAAGAAAAACCAGAGAAATCGGTTCCTTTAGAAACTTGATAAAACTTTCTTCTTCTAAATGTCAAAAAATTGCATAGAATATTATTACCAGAAACCAAGCAGCGCTCTCTTCTTGCCAAGGGCCAGAATAACAAATTCTACTGCACTGATAAATCGATACTCAACAATATGACGTTAATTACAGAACCCCTGAGGTTTATTTCAGTTTAAGGCTGAGGTATGTTATGTAACCAAATTTTTTATAAGTAAAAGTGAATCAAAGATTTACACAGTGGGGATTTAGCACTTTTTGAGCCTGGAAACTGCTATGTTACTGCTAGCATAGTTTTCTTTTTTCCCCAGAAATGTGAATTTAGGAATGCTAGGAGTTCTTTCTGATATGAGCCAGAGCTGTGTATTTTTGTGCAGCTTTTGAGGTTCAGTGACAAGACAAAGCAAAATATCATTGCTTTCTGAGCGATTCCAAGAGTGTCTTTCCAAATTATGATGCAGTTTCCTAAGTGGCTCAAGTCAGTCTAAGACATACTGCTATTGAAAGTGGCATCTTCTCCATAACTCTCCCAGACGTGTATTCCTGTTCCTGCTTTGATGCTGGTGCTCATGCTTTGGCATTTCTGCTGGGATTTTTTGACAAATCCATGTGACTGTGCATACACATGAGTACCACATGATTATTAGTAGCAGATAAGGACAGGTGATGAGAAACAAAGGTTGAAGGCAGCAGTACAGTTCTAGGTTGTTTTAAGATGCTCATTAATGTCCTAAGAGACTTGCATGTGACTGTTAGAGGATGGAGTCCATCTAAGGTCAGAAGGATACATCCCTTTCTTTCAATCGATAGCTATAATCTTACTTAAAGCTGTATATTTATTTTAGAAAGCAAATTCAAGAGGTGCGGACTGGAAAATTTTCCCCAAGAGATGAATTGTCAAGGCTGTAGGGGCAAGAAACTTTCACTGCTTCCAGAATGAGTACCAGATGTTTTAGTTTACTTGTTTCTTTAAATATGCCACTGGAAATGCTTAGTTACAATGAAAAATCTGAGGAATACAAAACATTTAACAAATCCTGGCAGTAGGCTTTCTGCAGTTCAATGTTTATGTAATCATTGCACTTGTAATTACTTCTTTCTTAAATTTTCTTTCCTTTATGCTCTGTTGCTGTACAACCAATTTATAACGTGACCTGGTTGTATGATCTTTCTCTTGAGCACTTCAAAGAATCATCCTATTGAATTAGGATTATGTCTGTTTCAGTTATTAAGCCTTTGGATTTTTTTCTGTACATATAATGTTCCTTTAGATTATTTACATATTTTTTTTCTCTTGTCTATTTTTGTCTTTCAAAAATATATTTGATGTATGTCAGGTTATGAAAGAAGAGACTCAGAGGTTTGGTAACCAGAAGAAAGAGCTGGAAATGGAAGTAGAAAAGCTGCATGAAACAGTGAGTTTCTCACAAGGGTAATGGCTCAGCTTTCCAGTTTCCTTTACAAGTATCCTTCCTTTATGGCCTCTATTCACGTTCAAATTACTTTTTATTCCTTATACCTATTTCTTAAAAAAACAGATTCAGAAAATGATGCTTGAAAATGAACAGGTGCCAGACACTGAGAAACTAGAGCCACAGGAGTTCAACCTGGATATAGAAGAACAGGAAAAAGCTCAAGCAGAGGCTGAACAAAAAGTGATTATGGTATGTTAGAATGGGGGGAGAACATCTTAAAACTAGAAGTGAAAAGGACAAGCAATGATTGAAGAGCAGAGGAAGATCTCAAAGTTGCTGTTTGCTGCTGAGGAGGAAAAGTTAAAAGTATTTGCAGCAGGTGAAGCTGCTGATGCATTGCCAGTTGGAATAGGATCTATGACAGAAACTGACACTGGCCTTGGGCACATTGCTTAAGCTCTAAAATGCTTTTCTGCACATATAAAATGATGCCTTTTAGTAGTATGGAATATCGTTTTTGGAGAACATAGCTGCAATAGTCTAAGATGATAAAATACTGGTAATTCATTTCATCTGTTAGGATTCATTCAATAACTCAATACAAATTGCCCATATCTTGTTATTTTGCACCACATCATGCTATTTTCTGTATCTTGAAAGACTAGGAAGGAGATTGAGATGGAGAATTTAGCCAACCGCTATGTGCAGCATGTCATCAAACGTGAGTGCTGGGATGCTATGTATATAAAAGGACGTGCAGTTAAGGTAACCTCTGCTTTCTAATTCATTTTCTGCAGTAGTTTCTTGATTCTGTAAGGTATAGAGACAAAACAAATAGAAGTATAACACATTTCTGATATACTGGCACGGGAAAAAGCTTACTTCTTCTCAGGGCTCATGCAAATCTTTTATTCAGTTCATTTTGTCTGAGCCTGGCTGATTTTACCTTCTAAGGTGGATAAGAGTGCTGATAAGCAAATAAGCAACTTTTGAATTCCTTTGTGTCAGAGAATATCTTTACGCAGTGTGGCTAAAAGGAAAAGTAATGTTCTTTTTCTGTGTGCAGTCAGTATGACTTCTGCTACACAGAACATAAAGGCAAAATTTAACCCTGATTTTGCCTATTTTAAACAGAGGGAGATTGGTCAAACTGATGATACTGGTTTATCTCAAGAGTGGTGAAAGAACAAGTCACTTAAAAAACCCAAACTCTTTCTAGTTGAATTCTGTGGACAAAGATTTTAAGAAGTCTTTATAACTGTTCAGTATTCAGGTATTGAAAAATGAATTGATAGATGCTATCTGGAGAACTTTTTACCTTGGGATTTTTGTTTCAGGGTTTTCTTTGTTTAGTTGGTTTTTGGTTTGTTTGTTTTTAATTTGAACAGAGCTTCCATACGGCTCATGAAGTGAAGAATTATCCATTGAAGAAACGTAGTAAAGAAGAGCTGGAAACACTGGAGAAAGTTCTCAGGTTAAAGAAGGTTGAAACAGCTGATGTTAAGGTACAATCGCTTTGAAGTATTGCATAAAGGCATAGTCAGGATGTTCTAAGTTGGCATCTTTCCCCTTTTTCACATAATTACATTTCTACAGTCCATTTTCTTGCTTTAGAGATTATTAAAAAAAATAAATTAAAAAGATAAAATAAGATTAATCATAGAATTCCAGGTTGGAAAGGACCTCAAGGATCATCTGGTCAAATTTTTCTTGTCTAGACAAGATGTCCCAGCACCCTCTCCAGCAGAATCTTAAAAGTATTCAATATTGGGAAATTCACCACTTCCTGAGGAAATTATTCCAAAGGCTGATTGTTCTCATTGTGATAACTTTTCCTCTAGCATCCAACTGGAATCTCCGCAGGAGTAACTTGTGCCCATTATCTCTTGTCTTTCCCATGTGATACCTGTTAAAAGGAAGTCTCTGTCTTTTTTGTAGCCGCTCTTTAAATACTAGACCATGCTGATGAGGTCTCCCCTGAGCTTTCTTTTCTCTAGGCTGAACGAACCCAGGTCTCTCAGCCTTTCCTCATTCAGCAGGCTTCCCAGTCCTTTGATCTTCTTTGTGGCCCTTCTCTGGACCCTCTCCAGCCTGTCCACATCATTTTTGTATAGCAGGGACAAAAACTGAATGCAGTATTCCAGGGGTGGTTTGACAAAAGCTGAGCAGAGTGGGACAGTAACTTCTCTATCTCTGCTGGTGATACCCATGTTGATCTCAGCAAAGTAAATCCCAGCCTGTGCCTTACTTTCAATAACCCTCACAGTAAAAAATGTTTTATTATGTTTAAGTTGGATGTCCTGTATTTCTATGTATACCAATTTTCTCTCGGTCTGTCACTGAGCATCACCGAGAAGAGCTTGGCTCTGTTGTCCTTACTCCCCACCATTAGGTTTTTATATGCACTATTAAGATTCCCCCAAGACTTAGTCTCCTTCTTGAGATTAAACAATTCCAGCTCTCTCAACCTGTCCTCACACGTTAGATGCTTCAAAGCCTTAATTGCATTTGTGGCGTATCACTGAATTTGCTCGAGTATGCCTATGTCTTCCTTTTAATGGAGAACATACAAGTGGACCAAATATTCTAGATATTAACCTTTCAACTTGTATTATTTTGATCTCTGAGCTTAATTGCAGAATCATAGAATGATAGAATAGTTAGGGCTAGAAAGGACCTTAAGATCCCTCAGTTCCAAGCCTCCTGCCATGGGCAGAGACACCTCACACTAGACCATGTCACCAGAATATAACCTCTAGATTTTTTTTTCCATACATTTGCCACTGGATCATGTACAAAATTAACAGTTACCATCTTTGTGATATTTATGTTCAGAAGAAAAGTCCTGAGTGTTATCTTCCTTGTATTATCTAAGGAAGAAAGAGAGAAGGCAGAAGTAATGGCTGATGATAGTGCATCTTGCTGCCTGATTGGAAGTCTGAGCTCTCAGTACGGTGGAGACACGTCTATCCTATACAGCCAATGGGACTTGCACACCAGGGAGCAGAAAGTCAACCAGATAGTATTATTGCAGGTGAGGTCTTCTTAAATTTGTATTACTGCAGTGACACTGTCTTGGTTCTCACAGCAGTCACAGCCACTGCTAGATTTTGGGCATACTGATAGCTATACAGTGGAGAGTCACGTAGGTCTCTGAGTTACTGAGATGAAAGCTGATAAATGCACACATGCAGTACAGCACCGTGTGGATTTGCCAGCTCAGGGCTGGAAGAAAAACATTTTAATGGAATTGGTTATCCAATTTGAAGGTATCTGTATTTGCCCACTGTGCTTGAAGGGTGTGTATAGCCAAAGCTAGCTTGCACATCTCAGCATGCCCCATGAAAACATGACCGCTTCCCTATATTTGCTACCAAATGAAAGATCAGCTGGATCCTCACACCATTTCCTTTCTCTCCAGTCTTAACCTTCCTTTTATTTGGGGTCTTTAATGTTCCTGTTATTTATTATTCATTACTAGCAGACTCTCTTACTTTTCTTATCCCAGACAGTTTATTAAGTGGTAAACATGCTACAGAATAGGCTTCTTACAACGATGATCTACAAGGGTATAAGTGGTTAAACTATTATAAAGCTTTGCCTCCTCAGAGCTCTTTAAGGCTGTAAGTGGTAGCAGAGCTCAATAATTATGCTTTTTAATACATAAAATCTAGTAGATAAGCTAGTGTTTAAAGTAAATGGGAAGAAGCACAGGGAGCACTTACAGATGTGAGATTGGATGTAACAAGTTTTTTCTACTGTATGGCTTTAAAGACGTGTATTATATATCCAAGTGTAAATAGCTCTTCAGTGTTCCTGGCCAACACAGCAAGCTTGCTGATAGCTACATGGCTGAATAGACATTGAGCACAACCTTCTTTCTCCCAGCAACACTGTACCTTACCTGCCAGCCTGCCCTATTGCATCCTTACTTACTATTATATTGGAAATAAATGAAATGTGTCCAACATGGACACAAATATTTATTATAATGCAAATTGCAAGCAGTGAAGCATCTCAAACCGTGAAGTTTAAATAGAACTGAAATCCTTTTCATATTTCATTTTAGTAAATTGACACAGTAGGAGATACACGTGGTTTGCTCTCTTAATATTCTACTTTGCTGCATTGAGATCAATTAACTAAAGGAAGAATTCACCCACTAAGAATATATACTTGTTAAAAGCATTTTAAGGTCTCAGGTGTTTTTAAATATTAGCTTCCAATGTTTGTTTACTTAATGGGCACATTTTACTTACATATGTCAGACAGAAAAGCACATGAATGCATATTGAAACTGCAGGTTGCATCACTCAGAAATCAGGCAAGTCCTTAACTCTGCCTCCCTGCACCTGTGATTTACAATCTATACATTTATAGGTCACATGTTTTTTTCTTTGAAGCCCCTTCTTGTTTCAGCTGATGAGTGCAAATCCAGTAAATATAAGGCAGCTGAATTTTTTATCTAGTTTTGGCTGCAGTATTTCATTCAGAATCCTTGTCAAATGGTAAATACATAGAAAAAAGGGAATAAGATTTTCTAGGGGAAATAGAAAAAAAACAAAAACAGATAATCTGCTCACCTGTATTTAACAAATAGATAGAACTTGGCCCTTAGGATTTTCACCAAAGGGCTTTACCAGTTTATCCCCTGTCACACACACAAATACACATATATGATTCTGATGGTGTGGGGGATTATGTGTAGTTATGGATGGGTGTGACCTGTGCAGCATTGCTGTTTCCTTTTTTGGTATTTCAGGACATCATTTACAACCTGAAAACTGCTTTTAATAAGGAATTTGACAAAGTTGCACGACAAAAGGAGCAGGACATAGCACGAGTGAAAGAAAGGAACCGGAGGATCCATGAAATCTTGGCACAACTTGAACTCCAAGTGGAAGTGTGGGAGCCAGCTCTTACAGATGATGAGATGCCAGAGCGAGCATTCACTGTTCAGGATTCAGAGGTGTCTGAGAAATCTATCCTTCTCTTTTACCCACTCAAATACAGTTCTCTAACTCTTCTCTTTTCCAGACATTGTGTCAGTACAGAGGTGCCTGTCATATTTTTAAGTCTTTTGCTTCCCTTTTTCTTTTTAGGGAGAAAACTCTTCATAAGTCAATCTGAAATGAATAAATGTATACAATCTTACTTTATTGCTATTAAAAGTTCAATTGCCCACAGGTTAGGTAGACATTCCCCCTGTTCTGGACAATAAGATTCAAACCAGGCTCACAGGGATTACTTCCATAGATAAGGGTTTTTCTGTTGTGTCTGAGCACCATTTTGAAACTAAGTAGTTTCAAACTAAGTATTTAGGTACTAAAGGATGTTTAGTATTGTACTTCTAAATTAAATTGATAATTTATAAAGAAACACCGTATTTCTTAAACAATATATTTCGCTGATTTCACTGCTCTTTTGATCAGATTTTCCTCACTTCTCTTTGCTCTCCCACCAGTCTGTGATATTCCGTTGTCAGAAAAGGTATGCACAAAACACAGCTCATTTCAACAAAAATAAGGGTAGTTTGTATTTTTGCATTTTTAAATGTAGCTTTTGGAGCTGCTTAACAGAACAATTTGCTTCTTGAGGAATATCATCACAGAGCAGAGAAACAAAAAGCATTAAGGATTAGTATGACACCACTGTAGTGGTTCGATCCCAGCTGGCAACTAAGCACCACACAGCTGCTTGCTCACTCCCTGGTGGGATGGGGAAAAGTAAAAATGAGAAAACTCTTAGTCTGAGATAAGAACAGTTTAATAATTGAAATAAAATAAATTATAATAATAGTAATAATAACAACAGCAATAACACTATATTGTAATGGAAAGGGAAATAGAGGAATAAAACCCCAGAAAAAAAAAGTGATGCAAATGAGAAACAATTGCTCACCACCAGCCAAACAATGCCCAGCCTGTTCCTGAGCTTTGGCCAACTTTCTCCCTAGTTTATATGCTGAGCATGACATCATATGTATGGAATATCCCTTTGGCCAGTTTGGTTCAGCTGTCCCGGCTGTGTCCCCTCCCAGCTTCTTGTGTCTGCCCAGCCTCCTCACTGGCAGGCAGCAAGAGAAACTGAAAGTTCTTGACTTTGTGTAAGCACTGCTCAGCGACAACTAAACATTGGTGTGTTATGAACATTATTCTCACTGCAAATCCAAAACATAGCACTGTACCAGCTACTAGGAAGAAAAAAGCTGAAACCAGGATGCCCACCTTTACAAGTGTAATGATCATGTTTAGAGAAAAGAACCTTGATATAAATGTCATTTTCTTCCTTCAGATTAAAGCTGAAAAATACTTGACTCAAGAAGAGAGAGAGAAAGCAGAAATGCTGGCTAGGATTGAAATGGAAAGACAACTTGCTGCTACGGTACTTCAAGTAGTATCCTTTTACTGAAAAGCCCTTTGTCTCTGGTTAAGTTTATTTTGTTAATGCTGCACTGGAATATTCGAGTAAAGTAGGATGGAAAAATAAATTTCAAATGGTAGGTAACGATGATGTGTGCCTTTTTCCTCTTACTATCTTTTACAATCACATAATCCTTTACTACATAGACCATCTGGGGGAAGAAAAGATTTAGTGTTAGGCTTGCAATTTTTAATGTGCTTAGTGGCAATTAAAAATACTGTATCAGGTGACTGGGAACTAGATACATTTCTAAATGCATGCTAGCGCTCAGTCAAGAGCTTTGTGCTTGATAAGTGTTTGCTGGCTGAGCAACCTCTCTTCTTCACGGATCAGATTAGAAGATCATAATGCTTTCCTCTGGCTTTAAAATACGTCCTTGAAAAGCCTAAGATGGTTGTGGCATCCAGAAAAGATGCACAGTAAGACAGTGGACCCTACAACTTCCTTCATCCTAGCCTGCCCTCTTCCCAGGAGTAGTCTATGCCTTTGTATTCTTTCCAAACCTGCCAGAATGCCAGTTGCAGTAAGTTATTGGTATATGAACATCTGACCACCAGAAAACACTCTGAGACTTTTAGCATATTTCACATGCATCACTGAAGAGAATTAAACTATCAGTGACACACAGAATAATTGTATGGGTGTTGTAGAAGTGCACTACCCTATTATCATTCCCAAAACTTCCAATTACTCCACTTCCTTTTTTAGCCTAAAATACTTGTGGTTATTCCCAGGACAATGAGAGACTGCGTGCTCTTGATGACATGATGGGTGGAGTGCTAGAAGTCAAAAAGGAAGACATCTTGAAAATGGTGAGCTGTGTTTGTGCCGTATCGTTTGGGTAGCTTGTGGGCTTTTAAAGATGTGAAATACAACTAGCAAATATATTCAACCTAAGTGATGGAAGAAAGTCAGAGAATTGTAGAATTGCATTATGCCTACATAGACTCCATAAGAAACCATACACTGGACTCAAAAGTGACCACAAGGTTCTAGTGCCTGCATGTTTTAGCCATCAACACCTGTCCCTATCACAGTGGAATACTGAAGGTATATAATCTAGTATTACCATTACAGTAACATATATGTTATTTAGAGTTAAGGCTTCTACCTTACTTACCACTAAGACATATCTTTCATTAAATTTGACATGTCATGGAGTTTGTTAGTATGCTGATGGAGACCTTATATTGCTTTTGAAGCATTTTTGTCTTTAATGTTTCCAGGATATTCCTCCACCTGCTTTTATATCCCAACCTGAGTATATTTGGACTGATGAAGAAAAGGAAAAAATTAGAGACTATGAGAAAAAAGTCAAGAAGCTGAATGAAGAAAAAGAAAAGTACAGAATGGTAAATTAAAAGGAGGAAAGTTGTGGGTTTGTTCACAGTGCTCCTGACCAAAGCTTCTGATCTTTCTCAGGAGCTACTTCTAAAACTGAATACTAATAAATAAATGAACAAAGAATAAATGAAAAACAAAGATCATGTGGCATATTAAACTCCTAGCTTAGACAGTAATATAAGTCAATCTCTACATACACCAATTAATATGTGCCAAAACTTGTGATATTTGACAAAAGGGAACTTTTCTTCACAAATGTACCAGTAGTCCAAAAACGAGGGGTTTTTTAAGGTTCCATTCCCAGATTTGCTAATTCCATACAAAAAGAACAGTTATATTTGTCCTTCAAAGTGGTGTTTGTACCACATAACTTGGTAGCCTGGCAGCACTCTCCTTCCAAACAAGTAGTTTTTGGAACCTTTTGGCTGAAGAATAAAGTTCAAAATTGTGCGTTCTCCAGCATCTGATATACTGTATCAGAGATTATTTGTCCCTTCAGATGTAATATTGCTGCTTTTGTCCTTCCTTTCCCAGTCACTAGAAGATGAATTGGAGAAGCTTGAAGCTTCTATACAAGAAACAACACAGAATTTTGATGAGACTGTACGCAAACTCTCTGAAAAGAAAGTGAAATTAGAGATGGTCATCTATCAGGTATTGCAGAGAACATTCATTTTTCATCTAGGCCTCTGTGCAGCAGGAATGTTAATTTAGTTTTTATTACAATCATTTCACAGGAAGAACTCAAAATAGTCAATCTTGTTTATGCTTTAATGTTGGATGAAGAGTTGGGCACCAGAGAAACTGGACTTCATAATTTCCTTATGAAAAAGGAGAAAGAAAAAGTAAGTTGTCATTTGAAATGTTGTTCTTAGGAAAAGAGTAATATTTAAAATGTACTTTCTTGTGAAGACTGCTTTTTCCAAATCAAAATTTTGCCATAAATGATTTTCTGACAATTTACAGGGTCACTTCATTATTATTTTTTTTTCAACTGGCTAAGGTGACATCCATTATAAATACATATGGTTTTGAATAGATACTCATCTTGGCTCATCTAGAGTACTTTGGTAAAGCTCCGCACATTCAGAAGGGCATGCTGCTATTTCTTTTATATATATAATATTTTTTAGTATACAATATCAAACTGGAAGCACCAATTGTGATGCTTTTATGACAGGAAGGTGCACAAAAGAATGTGTAACGCCATCACATTTTCCACTTAGTGTCTAATGTAGACCAGGGCCATGCTGACTTGTTTGCCAGTTCAAAGCATAGAGAGAGGTTGCATATGAGTATCTGACCATGGAAGCAGAACATAAGATGGAGTACAAAGTGTTTCTAGCCTTACTGATTAGTTCAACCTCCTGCAGAGTTTACCCATCCCTGTAAAACCATACATAAGAAAAGACTGGAGAGTACAAGTAGTAGATCCAGATTTCAGTGTGAGTGCTTACTGCCCACAGTAATAACTTTGAGTGACAGTTCCGATTTCTATGTTCTGCCAATACTTACATGACTCAGGTGATTTAAGTGGTGGTAGTCTGCAGGTTGGTTCTGGTGCCTGGGCCAATATAGCCCATTTGCCTATTTATCTTCATGGACCTGTCTCTGAGTCCACATTTCTGTGGACTATACTAAAATATATATATATATATACATACACACATATACTAGTGCCTCCCCATGTCAGATCTACTCGACCTGTGCAGACCTCTGTATCTGGAGCTGCAAGGAGCCCTTCATATGTGAGCTGCAGGGAGAGGTTCTAAAGTACAGGCTGAACTACTTTTAAAAGTATCTGAGGCCAAGTGTATACCAGCATACATTTTTCAAAATACAGCTTTTTTGTTTTCCTTCCTTTTTTAAATGTTCCAATTGGTATAACTTTTGGTCCATGCAAGCTGTCAAATCCATCAAAACGGTCTCCCCAGCAGAATATAAGCATTGAACAGCCTCAGTAAGACATATGAGCTTAGTATCGTGACATGTAGCAGAACTATGTCGTAACAACAGGAAAACTGCACTCTAAAATGAAGAATGCTTTACTGGGAATTTTTGACTGGTCTTACCTGTGATGACATGAGAGGAAAAGGAAATCTCTATGCAAGTGTAAACAAGTAGCAACACACATTCTGAAGTTTAAAAAGAAGATTTATAAGCATTTGCCTGAGATATTTCCTCCACGAAATTCTTACTTTCTTAAGCAGTGGACTAGTTTAATTTCTCACCTGCTCACTTTTTAGCAGTATCTACAAGTAACCTTCTGAAGAAGGCATTAAACTGATTGCAAAAATAGCTCAGAAGGTTTTGTCTAGAAATAAGAAAGTGTCAACTTCATCAGTATATATAAATGGCCATTCAGAGCTTCTGCTGGCTGAGTTTCATTCTTGAAATCTTTTGCTTTTGCTACAGGTCAAGACTGCAAGAACAATCCAGATGACAAAAAGTAAAATTGAGGCTTACATAGACGCCTATGAAAATGCCGTAGTTCAAGATAAGGTGAGATTCAACAAACACGATGAGGTTCAGAAGTTAAAAAGTTAATGCTGTGTCTTGATACTGAGAACATACTTCACTGTAAGCACAGGATGAGTTCTGGTCAATGTGCTGATCACTGAAATTAAGCTGTAAAGGAGAACATGTGCACAGAATTTATAAAATAGTCCAGATTCCTGTGATACTTGGGAGTATTTCTAAGATATGGGCAGGTGGATGCTCTTTTTAAAAATAACACTGTGGTAACAAGAAAGCTTTCTGTTTCCCTCCTAGGATGTGGAATCTAGTTTTGCAAGGGAGTTTGCTGACGTACCTGCCAATTTCCTTGAGGAACTTATCCAACTTTACAGGCAGCGACCAAAGTAAGATCCGCCTTCATTCCACCTGTTTAAATACTAGTACTTTTTGTGAGGCAAGAATGAGAATGTTATTTATTTCAATAGTCTCAATTATTTTGATGATCAGACTGCCTGCTTTTTATTGGCTAGCTAAAAACCATTCATTTCCTATCATACTAACAGCTGCTATTTTGCACTGCCTTATTCTCTTCACATAATCTATTTTAAATGTAATCTAAGTAATCATCAGGTCTCAAAACCATACATTCTTACTTTGTGTGAGATGTAGTATTACCTATTTGCTCTTTGTAAGAGATTGGGAGTATGAAATAGTAAAGTCTGTATGTATTCTGTGTGTGCACTAGGACTCCAGTGAAAGAAACTGTCCTTGACACAGCTAACCCCTATGGGAAGTGTTTGGGCTCAGCTGAAGATAATAAAGGTGCACTTACCCTTTTAATGAAAGCCATGGATGAACTGGATAGTCCTGAGCACATGCCTGATGGCTTAGATCTGTCTATATGGGAAAATTTTTGTCTAGCTAGACGAAATAAAATGGAGAGTGAGGAGCTGGTATGTAAAATTCTTTATTTGGCAGTACTCGATATTTCCAGGTCTTGAACTTTTTTGGAGCTCAATTGGTACTGAAATAACACTGCAGGATACCTAAGCTACGTTTGAGTATGAAAGTTCCTTCTGGACACAGAAGTTTTAGTTCTCCTTCAGAGGAAAAATCAGCATATTAATGTGGACAGAGTTGATCAGAAATGATTGTGATCCTGATATGGTTTCATTTTTTTAAAAATTATCATTTTCCTTTTCTCCATCTATACCAAAATACCGTTAAGGTATTTGACTTCTATGATCTGTTGGAGTAATTCTCTCCCATTAGCTTACCTACATTTGCACCAATGCATTCCCAATTCTGTGTAGCTGAAAAAGTTCTAATTTAGAATAGTTCAGCTGGGGGTAGCTGGAAAGTTCTAATTTAAAAGCATAAAGGTGTAAATCTGAAATACCCAGAGACAGAGATAATGAAATTTCACTAAGAGAAAAAGAAGTATTATTTCCCTTCATGTGAATAAACTATGCATAAATGAATAAATACTTTTCTGAGCAGAGTGTAAGGATTGTAACCTCTGTACCTCATGTGCTCTACTGGGATTCTCAAAATAGCAGGCTGCATATTTATACATACATATGTCTTAAGAACTTGTCTTTTCTGTTCTTGAAGAGGCTTGCCCTGACATACAAGCTGAAAAAGTTCAGAATCTCATGGTGTTGCTTGCTTAGGTGAAATGGAAGTCCCAGACTCTGGCAGAGATGCAGGCCTTTCTCCAGAGAAGAGTAGATGACAGCAATAAAATTGATTCAGAAATAGAAAACATTTTCCAGGAACTCACTTGGTAATTTTGTTTCTTTTCCTATGTTCAGCTACAATTTAATACTCCACCAAACCAGAAACAAAAGCTACAGAATTACACCACCGCGTCCTCTAACACTCTTTTATCTAGGACCATCTGAGACCTATAATATTTCTGAAATGAGGTGTAATTACAGCACATGTGAGCAGGCCACACCATTCTTAATCTACCTTCTTAGGTAACAACATCAGTAAGGATGGCACCATAGCCTTCAATGCAAACTGACTGCCCAAACACTACATCAGAAAGTGAATCCCCAAAGCCTTCAAGGCCATATATGTGCTAGCTAGCTCAGTTAAATTTCACTCATGAAGGCCTAAGATACAGTGATCACTCCCAATTGCAATGTGCCACATGACACCCAATTTCACTGACCTGCTTAGATCTGCAGTGTTTCCATGACATAATATTCAGACTCATTGTCATTCAGGAACAAACCCCAGGATAAAGTATACAAGAAAACGGGTTCTGGCTGGAAGTCTTCTCCGTTTCCTTTTCAATTGTTAAAATTTTCTTCAGTAACAACACTTTCTCTATATACAATACAGAGTATGTTAAATTGAATCCAGTGATTGAAAACTTCATATATAGAAATGAGATGCAAATTCTGTAGTCACTTTGGGGGAAAATAGAAACCAGGCTGTAAAAGAGTAACCCCTAGATGAACATACCGCTTACCAGCAATAAATATAAACATTTTGAGAATCATGGGAGGATTTATATATACTTGTTGAGAACACTAGGCATTGTTTTTATTTTCTGCCATTTTAGGCTGCGAGAGGAGAAGATGAAACTTCAGTTGAATTTGACTATCCAGTTTTTGCTAAAACAAGGACAAGTAGAATTGGAAAACACAGAGATCCCAGAATACAGTGATGCCATTCTCATTAGTAAGAGCGTTATTGAAGAACTGAATCGCAATATCATGGTAATTTACATTATCCAAAGGAAATTTAAGCTTTTTAAACAAATGTATTGTCCTTCAGGGGCTCTGCTTTTTCTCCAGAAACATCTACTTTGAATTCATTATTACACACCAGTAGGCTCCGTTGTAATCTAGAAGCTATTAAGAATATCATGATGTAAAGATTGCAATACAGACTGCTTTCTTGATGTTCGATCAATACAATTCAGATCAATGAAACAGCAACAGCCTTTAGACATGCCATCACTCACACACACATTGTAAATAGAAAATGCTAATATCTTGGGCACAAGTCCAAAAATTCCCTCAAGCCAAACTTATAGTCATGCTAAATAGCATCTGAAGAGTAGCTTACATTAAGATTTAAAAAATTAATACACTTTTCTATGTAAGGTGAAATTGGTGATCATACTTAAAATAGTTTTCGTAATTGGTGATCACACTTAAAATAGTTTTTGTACTTTTCAAATGGTGACCTGTGGGGATCCCTGGGAATTGCTATGGGACCCAACACTGTTTAATATCTTCATAAGTGATCTGAAAAATGGGATCAAGTGTGCCCTGGCCAAGTTTGCTGATGATACTAAACTGGAAGTGGACACTTTGGAAGGGAGAGCCATCCTGGACAGGCTGGCAGAATGGGCTAGCAAGAACCTTATGAAGTTCAACAAGGACAAATGTAATGTCTTTCAACTGAGAAAACACAATCCAAGACTGCAGCACAGGGTGGGATCTACCTGGCTGGAGAACAGCTCTGTGGAAAAGAACCTGGGGGTCCTGGTCGACAACAAGCTTAAGATGAGTGAACAGTATGCTGCTGCAGTGAAGAAAGCAGGATGCTGGGTTACATTAACAAGGGTATCAGCAGTGGAGATAGAGAAGTCATTAGACCACTCTGCTCAGCTCTTGTCAAGCCAGTCCTGGAATACTGCATTCAGTTTTGGTCCCTGCTATACAAAAATGATGTGGACAGGCTGGAGAGGGTCCAGAGAAGGGCCACAAAGATGATCAAAGGACTGGGAAGCCTGCTGAATGAGGAAAGGCTGAGAGACCTGGGTTTGTTCAGCCTAGAGAAAAGAAAGCTCAGGGGAGACCTCATCAGCATGGTCTAGTGTTTAAAGGGTAGCTACAAAGAAGAGGGAGACTTCCTTTTAACGGGTATCACATGGGAAAGACAAGAGATAATGGGCACAAGTTACTCCTGGGGAGATTCCGGTTGGATGCTAGAGGAAGTTTTCACAATGAGAACAATCAGCTTTTGGAATAATTTCCTTGGGAAGTGGTGAATTTCCCAATATTGAATACTTTTAAGATTCAGCTGGAGAGGGTGCTGGGACATCTTGTCTAGACTGTTTGCCAAGAAAAAAATTGACCAGGTGATCCTTGAAGTCCCTTCCAACCTGGGATTCTATGATTCTGTAATTCTATGATACTCTCATTAAACATTCTTTTTTTAGGTGTTCTGGCTGTACAAAAATAGCTTCTTACTGCTACTACACAAAGCCTTCAGTAGCAACTGCAAAATACTTTATACAGAGTATGCTTGTATGTTGTAGTGCTAAAACGCCTTCACATTCTTATAGAAAGATGGAGGGAGAGCATAGTTCTAACCTTCTTCATCTCTCTTTATGATCCAAGGCTGTGCCACAGAGCATAAAAGGGTACAACATTCCACAAAAGATAACCATCTGGAGCAAAGTCTGGAATGAGAGTGCAATATAGCATGTTTTCCTTCCTAAAATTATAACTTTGGAAACTTGCCTATCTTGTTGCAAATAATAATTCCATAATCTGTAAAGTCTGTTAATTAAGATCAATCTATTTTTTTCAGGCTGAAGCAGAAAAAAAAATTGCTAGCATGGTGGAATATAAGGACTTCTCTAAAGGGATATTTCAGCTGGAATGGGAACACAGGAAAATGAGAATGCAGATAGAAGATTTGCAACAGAAAGCTCGGGATATTGTATCACTAATTATTTCCAAAGATCGCCAGCTAGTGAGTTACTTTCTCTAATTCGTATTTTGGCTGCAGAATATTTTGCTGCCTATACCTGTAACATCGTTTCTGCCTCATCTCTTACTTCTACTGAGAAACCTGATGCCTGCTAGTTCAACAATTCAGTTTTACCCTTGAGACTGATCAGTGATGAAGTTCTTTAGGATGTTCAGGCATAAATGACGGCAAAATTAGCCCTAAGTTTTAGTATTTCAAAATTGGCAATGAAAGTAAGGAATCAGGGTTTGCAGCCACGAAGAACAGATTTTTTTAAAATCAGGCACTGTAATTTCCCTCAAAGTGAAAGGTCTCAAGTGCCCTCATCTGGTATCTCACAGAAACAACATAATCTCTGCTCAGGGTACAAAGGTTGAGCATTCCTACAGGAGCCTCATTGAGCCCTGCTCACTGCCATTTGTTGACCCAGCAGCAGAATGACAGGTAGTTGTTTGGCCACGCCTGGCAGGCAAGAGGCAGCAGCTGGCCAGCAAATCAGCACCCACATAGCTTTGAAGTGGCCCAGCTGGCAGGCCAGAAAACATAGGTAAAGGCTGTGGGAGAGAGACAAGGATATCAGTGGGAGAAGAGAGGAGCAAGAAGAAAGGTTGTAGGGGAAACCTGAGGGTATTGCAGTATGGGATGTAGAGGACTGCAGAGAAAGCTGATTAAACTAAGGCAATGAGGTGGGGGGCATAAAGACTTATAGTAAGGGATGTTGTAGGATGAGTATATTGCAGTGGGGGAGAGCTATAAAGCAAGCACAGAGAAAATGGAGAGTGTTGGGAGAGCATGTAAGGGTACTGCAATTTAATCAAAAGATGAAAAGAAAATCCAAAACACATGTTTTGCTCAGGCTTCATTTGTTTTGCTGCTACCCAAACTGCTTGTTTACTTGTGAATCACACCCAAGGGACTTCCATAACTAACACAAAACAGCTTTCCAACAAGGTGATGTGACAACACACTGAAAAGTTCTTGTAGCACATTCATCACCAGAGTGTTGCCTTTAGCTCAAACTTAATTTAAACCAATGAACAGAACTACTGCCCTTCAGAAAGACTTAAACTTGCCCTTGGCAGAGGCAGATACTAGTTTAATCAGAATCTGAATGCTCCGAGGGGCTTGACATAATTTTCTGAGTAGAAATGTGAGGTTAATGAAAAAGACAGGGCAACAGAGACCCCAACAACAGGAACAGAAATAAAAATGGCTTGTATAAATGTGTGTGGACCTGAGAGCACCTGGAATGAGGGCTATTAACAAAGCAGTGCATGAAAGAAGTTTGGTGTTGTAGGCAAGGAGCCTGCTGGGTCTTTCCTCTTTCTCTCCCCTAACTAGAGCACTCCACATAAATTTACCAGTCACTTTGGTGGGGCAATACTCTGGAAGGATGAATCTATATCTACAGAAGCCTGTCTACTGCCCATTATGGGTCATACAGCCTGTTCTACCATTTGCCATTTGATAAAGAAGTGTTACAGTAGCATTGTCCCCAAGAAAAATCTTCAATAAATTGTCTGAAACCTGAATTACTATGCAGATACAAGAACAGTAAAAGAAGTAAGAATTACTGGGAAGCCACTTGACAGAAAATAATCACTTTCTCCTCTGGCCTAAAAACAGACTGTACAGCACTTTGCCTTCCAGCTGTGTTAGCTTATATTGCCTAATAAGCAAACGTATTGCTTGGGGTCTTTTTGATAACCTCACAGCAAATTTTCTTGGTCTTTGTTTCCATTAACACATAATACTTAACATTCTTTTTAACAAGTGTACAGTTTAGTATTCACGCAACGTCCAAGATTATCTTTACAATGTCTGTTTATGATCACTAGTAAGCCTTTCCACTGTGTAGAATTTTAGGGGGTTTGAGTTTCACAGAATATAACTGTCTTTATAGAAGTGGGAAATTGTTGAGAACAAACAAACAGGCTTAATACAATGGTTTCTTTCTGGTTTTAATTCATCAGCTCCTAACTGTGCCGAACTACAACAGCAACGTTGCCCACCGCATTTCAGTGATGGAGCAGACTCTTGGCATGATGGATAAGGTAAATCCTAAGTGAACCACCACATTCGAGAAACATCCTTAGTTTAAGTGCAACTCCTCTCCTTCATTTGCAAGAGGCATTTGTAAGGATTAAGTGCAACTGATACAGGCATACTAAGTCAACGACTGTTGCAGCACAGCCATAACAGTACACACAGATGGATTATCTATCTATCTATCTATCTATCTATCTATCTATCTATCTATCTACTTCCATGTATTTATTCATCTGCCTTTAAATAGTTTCTTTAGCTTGCACTGAGCTGTCTACAGCAGCAGTTCTCTAAAGTCTTTGGAAGAGGTCATCGTATATGGATTGCTGCATAAATCAACTCTATGGAGAGAAATCTACTTACCCTGTTACTAGAACTAAATGCTTTCCTTCCTGAGCATATGAATGCAGATCTGCTTATCACTTCTTACACAGCACTATCTATAAAAAACACCCTCCCATTTCTAGTGAAGCATTCTTCCAGTCTTCGCTGCTTAATGTTTCTCTTCAGGAGTGCCAGCGTGTTCCTAGTATCACTGCCCCCTATACTCAAAATGAGACACAACGGTTTGATTTGCTGGTTCTATTTCAGCACTCAAATTATCATTATCCTTGTTTTCAAGTGATTCCACTGGATATTTTTTTTTTAGATTGCTTTAGCTGGCATGAGCCTCCTCTTCCTCAAGCCTTAGCATTTCTTTTGTCCCTCTACAGCTCATCCAACAACTTCAGCATGACCACCCTTTCTTTAGCAGCTCCTAAAAGCCAAGAGTTTCTCAACTCACTGATTCCATTTGCTTCCTTCACTCTCTTTGCCTTTCAGGTTTTATCTTTAATAGATCTTTCTCCCTGGCCCATACTTCTTTGGTCCTTGTCAGCCACTTAAATTAGAATACCATAAGGCATACTGTGCGCATGAAAGACACTATACAAAGTAAAGCTAGAATGTGCTGTTAGTCAAACCAAAATACACAAGTTCATTGAGCTACCATGCAGTGCTTATATTTGTAGCTTTCTATCATAATTTTGTCAGAACTGCTTTTGCATAATCTATTTGCATTATTCATTTGGAAATGGACAGCTGCACAAGAAGAATGTGAAGAACCGCCAGAAAAAAGTTAAAGAATTGGAGAAATGCATCCGTTTAAAAGAGCAAGAAAACTATGAGCTCAGCCTGGAGCTTAAAGAAATGCTGGTCTCTACTTCAGAAAGGAGGCATATCTTTGAGGCAGCTGGTGAGTCACAGTAACACAGTTAAGTCATAAACAAAGAACATTCAGAAAATACCTCCAAGGCCACACGGTCCTGTTCTCCATCAGCATCGGCTAAGGGGCAAGGAGCACCTATTGATTGATTACTGTGTGCAAAACTAGTAGTGCCCTTTCTCCCACAGCAGTTTAACGTTGTTTATTTAAGAGCATACCTAGAGACTGTTGTTCTTGTACCCAAAGCTAACTACCCAAATTGCTGAAACTATTCAAGTCAGAATATTACAGTCATTAATATCCTCATCAGGCAAAGGGCTTTCATTCTTTCTCAGAACTGTTCAACCCACATGCTTTCACCATTGAAGGGATCAGAGGTAGTAATGTGAAGCTTAGAAGGGTATTTATTATTAGGAAAACCGTAGAGTTCTTCCCACTAATGGAAAACAGATATTCAAAATACTTGCTAGAAGCTAAAGGAAGCATTCCCAGTGCCTTTTGGGATTTCTTTTTGCTTTATTCAGTACTATATAGGCTTTTAAGCCCAACTGTGAGCCTTCTTTAAGGTGCTTGCCTATTTTACACAGAACTTGGAAGAACCCCAGGACGTGTTTAAGAGACATATGACTGTGCATCCCCTACAAGTACAGGCTGACCCTTATTATTTTGTTTTATGCAGACACACGGCATATTACTGAAAAGGTTGCAAGGCAGCGCTACCAAGAGATCTTGAAGCAGAAATACCTACGGGGGCAGATCAAGGAAGAGAAGGAAGAGTTTGAAATTCTTCAGGCACAAGTTGAAAGACTGAGATCAAGAATATTCCCTATTCTTTAAAACTCAGAGTCCAGGTAGATATACAATACCATGGTCATGGCTAAGAAAAGGAGCTTTGACACCTTCTTCTCCCAGAACTTGCCTTTCCACAAGCATAATTCTTCTTTAATTTCTTTAAAAATAACTTGTTTGAAAGATGTATGTTTGTTTGTTTTGTACGTTTCATGCCTATTTCTGTTCATGAGATTTATTTCTGCTGTTTTGATTATATAAACCCTATAGCTCATTGCAGAAAACAGGGTACAAGATATTGTAGACCGATAGAACAGGTGTATTTGTATAGCCTTAGTCTGCAATATGCAATTATAGAACATTCGGAAAGTGAAGTACTCCACGAATTTTCATCTGCTAAAATTTATGTCTCTGGTTTTGATTTCATTTTGCTTCTTTAAAACTACTTACACCTGCAATGGCAGAGGTGTAGGTTGCGAGGTGAAGGTATGCTTTGTCATCACCATGTGTGCTACCCAGCCCAGTCCTGAAAGCTGCTGTGGCTTATGATAGCGTAATTACCCACAGCCAGCATTAGCAGTGGCTGCTACCACTGGCAGAATCACAGGAAAAAGCTCTCCAAGACAGCTAAGAAAAATAATGAACCCTTGAAATAATTAACTACTGCTGGGTACTGATCTACCTGCATATCTTTTATTTCCCTCTTCCATGACGTGTCAATTCTTCTCCTTTCATAAATTCACATAAATTTTTAACCCATTCCATTGCAAGATCATTAATAGCAGGTCCTATGCCTGGGTCAGGGCAATCCAGGAACAGCTACAGGTAGGGCAGAGAAGTGATTCAGAGCAACCCTGCAGAGGACTTGGGGGTGTTGGTCAATGAGAAACTGACCATAAGCCAGCTTCAGTATGCACTCACAGCCCAGAAAGCCAACCATATCCTGGGCTGCATTAAAAGGAGCATGACCAGCAGGTTGAAAGAGGTGATCCTGTCTCTTTCCTCTTCTGAGACCCCACTTGGGATATTGTGTGCATTTCTGGTGTCCTCTACATAAGGACATGGAGATGTTGGAGCAAGTCCAGAAAAGGATGACAAGGGTGGTGGAGCACCTCCTGTGTGAAGACAGGCTGAGAAAGTTGGGACTGTTCAGCCTGGAAAAGAGAAGGCTGCGTGGAGACCTCATAGCAGCCTTCCTATAGCTGAAGGGGGCCTACAAGGATGCTGGAGAGGGACCCTTCATCAGGCACTGCAGCAATAGGACAAGAGGAAATGGGTTTAAACTTTAACAGGGGTAGTTCAGGTTAGATATAAGGAAGAAGTTCTTTACTGTGAGGGTGGTGAGGCACTGGAATGGGTTGCCCAGGGAAGCTGTGAATGCTCCATCCCTGGCAGTGTTCAAGGCCAGGTTGGACAGAACCTTGGGTGACGTGGTCTAGGGTGAGGCATCCCTGCACATGGCAGGGGGTTGGAAGTGGATAATCATAAGGTCCTTTCCAACCCAACCAAAACCATTCTGTGATTCTAAAGTATCTTAGTTTAAAAAAAATCTACCCTTGCAAGGAAAACTACTGCTGGGAACTTGCATGCCACCTCCTTACAGCTGTACACCACCTCCTTTTCTGCTTTACCATCTCTAACTGGGGTCTGTAAGGATTCCAATTACATCTTCATTCCTTTTGCAAGATGTTTTCCTGCTGAAACTTGCCTAGAAGCAGCAGAACTGCAAATTTGCCAAGGAACTCAGTGAAGAGACCCACCCCCTTTACCAGGCACCATCATCTTTTCTTTACTAACCTCAAGAGGCAGAAGAAATAGTGTCTTAATACTCAAAATGTGATTAGCAATAAAGGTTCTCTTCATTAACTCTCTGTGGACAGCAACAATCAATATTGTTAAGAGCAAGCTGTGGGTACAGATTTAAGTCTAATAAGCCTTATCAATGTTAAAAAGGTTTGTATGATCTTTGATTTTCTTTCCCATGGGAAACAGGAAATGGCGCCTGTAAACAAACCAGTTATGGTACAGCCAGTAAGGAATGTGATTGTATATAAAACAATATTCATAGCAGGGAGAGCTGCAGAGTAGTTACGACTCACATATTACATTTGACAAGCAGAGATTTGAAAGAAATAAAAGCAGGCAGAAGTCACCACACTACACACATAGGTCATCATGAGAAAATAAGCAATTTCAAGCTAAGACAAAAACCCAGTATTTAAAAAAGACATTTATTGGAGGGGAAATGAAATGCTGAAGTTTCATTCAGCTTTATGATGCTGTAGTGGAATCACTCCCTTTAGACAAGGCCTTGTTTTTCTTGTTTGTTTGAAAAGGGAAAACACCTGGCTCTCAAATGAAATAGCAGAGGAGACAGGGGCTGGTTACAGTTTTCTTGCCTTCCCTTCCATTATATCTCACACTGTGGGAGAATGCTTGAGAGAGCTTCTCTGAAGACAACTGGCTCTACCAGTACCTGAAAGTGACTGCATTATGGCACATTTCCTTCAGGAACAATTAAAGCTATTGAGAACATCTCATTCTGGCTTCAGAATATTAAAAACATGAAAATTAGTTAATTTGCAAAATGCTATCATTAACTGAATGGCAGCAGGAAGACATGTAAAATGGGGACATGTCTATGAACAAAGAACCGAACTCTTCCCCATCAGAACATCAACAGAAGTGACAAACTGAGGTACTATATCAATACAGGTAACCTTGCAAAGACTAATCAAAGAATGGGCTGCCTTCTACCTGTTAAAGTATGGCTTGATTTGATTTTTATTAAATAATGATTCCCTAATCAAGTTGCTAAGCCAGAACAGCACGAGTTCAGTGTTTTCTCTTAGGTAATGCCTTTTACAGTGCCTACTGTATTTAAGTACACAGCTTTATAAGTATCTCCCAAGAAACCCTCATAACCTCAAAGCATAAAGTCCACTGTTGGATCAACACTTATGTGATCAGAATTCACTCAGTCTTTTCTGCTTTTCCATGTGTATAATTCAAAACTTTTTACACCTGTAGATTATGAATCTACAAAATCTTCTTCTGTCCTGCTGTAGTGCAGTAACTGGTCTTCTAATCCAAAAGTATCTATCAGTTGAGTGAGACTCACTTTCTTGCCATCTGCAGAAAAGGCGGACTGGAGTTCATACAGCATCAGCTGGGTACTACTTCTCCATTTCACTATCAGAGCCTGCAGTTCAGACAGGTTGTTCTGAAATTGGGACAAAAGAAACCAAAAAAAATGTTATCATTTTCTGAAATATGGAGTTTTTTGACACCCTGCAGATCGATTTTTATAAAACACCTTAAACAGACACTACACAAACACCACACAAGAGTATTGTGGCTTAAATTAGTAAGTGATGATTACACCATCAATTCCACTTCAAAGAATAACCTAACAGTGCTTTTTCAGAGGTCTGCCTCACCTTAGATCGATACATCTTAACCAGTTTGAGCCTCCGAAGTAGTTCTTCTTTCTCTTGCACTTGTTTCAGCAGCCTTACTTTTTCTTCCAGGGACTGCTGCTGACTAAGATCAGTCTGTAGCACACAAGAATTCTCTGCAGATCCACAGAGACCACGCTCCTGTAAGGGACTTTTGACACATACATGTCCAGTGCCATTTCCTTCCAGGTTTTCTGAACCATCTTGTAACGTGGAACAATCCGTACTCGTCTTTGGCAGACACCCTTTGTCAGCATCAGGACAGTCTTTTTCTTCAGTGTTTATTTTCAGCCGCTTTGCCACTGCAATATTAGCATTAAATGAACGTCTTGTTTTCCTCAATCGCTCCCTCAGAGCTGCACTCATTGGCTAGAAAATATTAAAACCAAAGGAAGAGGTGGATCAGAATACATAATTTTTTATCAAATTTCAAAGAACTGCTTATCCTGTTACTATCTACATAGACTATAGTATATATGTAAAGATGATTGTAAAGCCGGAATTCCTAATTTTCTCCATAGTTTTCACAAATTTGAACAAACATCCTCCTTTCATGTGTATTTGCACACACAGCTGCAAGATATGGAAAGATTTACTTCCACATTTTACGGGAGCAAAGCCTGTATTCTGCTGAGGCAAAGCTACTCATCTAGTCTTTGTGCAGAAAGTATATGGCATATTTCAACATGGCTAATATTATTCCATCAAGTTCAATTCCCTCCTCTAGTTTAATGGAGATGAGGGTTAGGGTTTTTTGCTGTTCCATCGTACAACACACATAAGCACCCGTATAAAACACTTGTATTCTGCTTGACAGTATTAGAAACTATCTAATTTTGACTTACTCATGCTTTGAGATTCTTCACTGATAAGAATCTAAAGAGTGATTTTTTTTCTTCAAAGTAAGAGTTAATTTTCATAACATGTGCCTAGTATTTTCACTTGTGAAAATATACTACAATATAGGGCAGAGGGATTAGTTAAGGAACACTTGCAAACTAGCCCTATCCTGTATAGGTCCGGGTGCTGAGTGTGACAACATCACCATAACACATGCTAGGATGAACACCAAAGCAGAGCTCATCAGCATGGAGAATATACGAACTGAAAGCAGTGTGTTTTGTTCAAGTGTAAGCAGAAGGTCAGCCTGCATACACAGCAGCCTAGAAAATTAGGATTTGGGAATACTGAAGATGGCAGAAAACAAACATAGCAAACCCCACCACAAGCCCTAAATACTATTTACATTCATTAGTATGGCATTTGGGTTATACAGCTCCATCATTTTGTCTTCACAGCAAACATCTGCATATTCAGAGCAAAGTACACCGAGCACATTCTTTACCTGGAAAACCTTATAGCTATGTGTATAAGCTGCCTATCTTTAGCCTTCCAGCAAACAGTATCTCAGCAACTCCCGACTACTTAATGATTTCACAAATATTTTTGTTACTACAAAGAGTCACATTATTGGGAAACCAAGTAAGTTTTCATACCTGTTTCCCTGAACTAGTCGCCTGTGGAGCTGCTGTCCTAGAATCCTCTGGAGTATGGCACAAAGATGGCAGTTTATCAAGCACTGGTTCTTCCATCTCACAACAGATAGCAATTTCTGTTAAAGGACAGAATAAATTATGTATGGTACCATTTTCACTTGATTATAATGAGCCATGTGGCTGCAGAAACGAGGAAAAAGCTCTAACAAGAAATACTAAAGCTTATTTTCTAATTGGCAAGTTCAAAAAAGACACCTTGCTTTGCGAGTGGCTTCAAGAGGATGAACAACACTACTCACTGGTATAAGCACCATACTATGAATTTTGTAGATTATCTTCCCCTCAGTCCTAAAATTCTGGATTTTTTTCTTTAAAAAATGAAAAATATAAAGACTTACAGTTACTCTTCACAGTATCTTTTTTTTCCTACCCGATATCCTCTTTCAAGTGCTAAAAAGGAGCAAGACAACTTACAAACCAAACCCATTACAGTCCATCTATAAATCAGACATTGCATGGATCAGATCCTGCAACACTGAACTCATCAAAAACTCACTCCAAGCAAACTGTATTTTCTTAACCTGGATAAACTTTAATGCTTGTCTAACTCAAAGGAATAATAATTACTAAACCAGGTATGAAGAACCAGTCCTTTAATTTTAACTGTATCCCAAGTAGTGACAGAAGGATTGTTGGAACCACAAGATTTTTATTGTCCTGATGTACAAATAATCTTTTCTAGAAAACAAAATAATTGGGTATGAAAGTCTGAAAATAATCCACTTTCTCATTTGAGCCTTCTGGGGATGCTGCTTAAAAAGGAAATTACTCACACAAGTAGAATTTTAAATCGAAAGTAGCATCCCCAGTCTGCTCAGAAAAGGATCTCAATTAAAATGACAAGTCCTCTCTCCCAGCACGTACCAACTTCAAATTGCCTTGGCAGTGTTTATCTTACTTTAGCACTTGTGAACGACCTGCTAATGGCCAAAATGCAGCTGGAAAATTGTCAGCTACACCTCCCTTTAGCTGCACATTGCAATTAGAAGTTTCAAACAGAAGCCTTTAGAAAATGACCTGATCTTCCTCATTCTATACCAAAGGGCACGGGTCCTCAATTATCTTACAAGTCAACATTCCTCCAGTTGTTAAAAATTCAACATTATGGTATTTGATTTAAAACCTCCCAAATTTTAGTAAACAAAATCCAGTTAATTGGGTATTTTAGCAACCTACCAATTAAACAGGAAGCCCACAGCATCCATTAAATACAGTGAAAGCTTAGATACAATGTGGGCTTTTATTTCTTACTGTAAGCAAGAGCCTAGAAGAAGCTACCTCATGCCTCTGTATACAGCAGGTCATAAATATGTAATCAGTCTTCCCCAGCAGCAAAATCATTTCAAACCTAAGAGCTTCAACAGAATCCTGTCCTGCTGTCCTGTGACTCTTCCAATGTGACCATGACTACATTAATATTTTTTCCAATGCTTCACTGTTACTTGAACTCTGTTCCAAAGCACATTCATAGACTCACAGAATGGTTTGGGTAGGGAAGAACCTTAAAGATATCTCGTTCCAACCCCCCTGCACAGGCAGGGACGCCTCCACTATACCAGATCACACAGATCTCCCGAACTCTTAAAACCCTTCCCCAGTATCTCAGCCCAAGTATCCTTTACATTTTCAAGCTGTAATGTTATTTATCACACAGAAAAATATTTTTGTCCAGTAAGTAAGGAAAACTCGGGCTAGAAGGGGGAAAAAGGCAATTTTGCACTTCAGTACTAACTGGGTAAATCCCTGATGCTACATGTCTTAGTTTTCCTGTTTATAGCTACACTATGTAACCACATTCGCTCCTTCTACACCCCCCTCTCACAAACCAAAGGCTCTGTTATCACTCAACAACTTTTTTCCCGCCTGCTCTCCACCCTGCAGAGAAGCAGAAAGAAGGCTGCCATAAGGCAGCCCATAAGCACAGCCACAGACCCGAGGAGCTGTTTCTGAGGTGAGGCACCATGGAAAGTCAAGAGGCACCCCAGAAACGGAGCACAGCAACGCAACCGCAGCCCGATCCACACGCCGTGGAGCAAGGGGAGGCCCGAACTGAGCCCCCAAGAACCAGATGAGCGAAGATCCAGGACGAGAACGGAAGAAAGGGACAGCCCTGAGAGACCCGCTTCCTCCCTCTTCCGCCCCGGGAGCACAGCGCTGCGGGGAGCAGAAAGAGGAGCCGAGCGGGCCCAGCCATTACCGGCCCTGGCGATTCAATCTCCCGCTTCCGGGAAAGGGGCGGGGCCAGGGCAGTACGCATGCGCACCCCCGCCATATCGCTTTGCGCCTGCGCTCGGGAGAAGGCGGTGGGCGTGGTAACGGTGTGGTGTGGTGCGGGCGGGCGCAGTAAGATTGTTAACACGCTGGGTCGGGCGGTAAATATGGGAGTGGGTGTTGCTGCGGCAAAAGTGACGAGTAGAGATGGGCTTCTGGGGCGTCGATACGGGGCACCCAGACGAACCTCGTACGTATGTTGCAGTCGGGCATGCAAGGCTGTGCTGTGTCTCTTAGGAGTTTACCGAAGAGCCCTGTGCTCTCTTGCTGTAAGCGTCCCTGTGCCTGGGAGTCAGCTTCAGCATAGAGTGCGCCCCACTATGAGGGCAGGGCCGGGCCGGGCCGGGCCAGCGTTTTGGCACAGACAAGGAAAGCTCAACTTCTCGGGCCGTCCATCAGTTCTGCCTCAGACACTGTCTGCGCACAGAAGGGGGATGAAGATGTGCCTGTACCTGAGAACACACCGGTGTGATCTGAATGGCACTGCCTTGGTTGTGAGGGAAGGAGAAGGAAGTGAAGAAACTTGACTGAACAGCCAGGCAGGTGTATTGTGATAGTGACCAGGAGCAGCCCCAGCTGTAGCTGCAGTCATGTACTTCAGAGCAGGATTAGAGTGCCCTGGCTCTCAAAGACACTGCTGAAGCAAATGTGATTTCTATATCTTTATCAGCAAACTTTCCTTCCAAGCTGCAGACCTGGTTTCTCCACATGGACTTGGCATTTCTCAAAACTGATTTACACAAAGTGTTTTTCAAATATAACTGTCAGGACTGAGCAAGTGAGCTGCAATGAGCTGCAGAAGTGTAACAGCAATACCTCCCAGTCTGCAGGGATGATGGATCTGTGGTTCCTTCAGCGCTGCCCACAGCCAAACTGTTGCGTGCTGTGCATTGAGGCCTTGCACAGCTGTGCTGAGTGTTGCATGTGGAGTATATGCCCCCATGTGCTTTTGCTAGATCATGCCCTTAATTTCTGCAACACAAATGCGTTGATTTCCTGCCTTATTCTTCCTCACGGCCACAGATGAGGATGTGCATTTGTCTGTTCACCTCATGTAACTCCATCTGTACTGAGCAAGATACACTCTTGCACTGAGAGCTGAGTAAGCACTGAGGGTAGATATGATCATATGTTAGCTGTTACTGTGCTTTTCAACACAAGTATACACAGATTCACTCACTTCAAATAGAATTTCACAGGGATGATAGCAACTTGTTTCTCTCATACATTAAAAAGTATTGAAGCATTCAAAGCCCATCTAGAACAAGTCACTTTGGGAAATCTGAGAACTTGGGGCCTTTAGATTTCTCCTTGTATAGGAGTTGACTGGGTGAAAGTGATCTGGACTATTCCCAGTGGCAAATGAGGCAAGTTAGATTATGTGACTAAGTTGTGTGATCTCTTATAATCATCTAGTGAAAAACCTCACTCAGTATCTCAACTGTTTAGGCAGTTTGGAGGCATTTTTTAAACCAGCAAACCTGCCTTTATTTTTGTTTAATACCTGCAGCTGACTTAATGTCATAAGTTTGGTTTTGGTGTGTTTTTGTTTGGTTTTGGCTTTGGTTTTGGTTTTTGTTTGGTTTTTTTTAATGTAAAAAATGGACGCCTGAGCACAACAGTAAAAGTGCTACAGACTTGCTGCTGCAAAGGTATCAATGGGTTGGACCTCAGGTACTCTAGAGCTTTGAGATGGCATGTCTCCAAGTTAGCAAAATAATCTCTTCTGTCTGAAGGATGGTCCCTGCTTTAAATTACTCATGCTCTGTTGTGCAGACATGTTAACAGTTGAGTTGCACAAGAACAACAGAAAGTTTGAGATTTTAGATCATTTGCCAGCAGAGATTCCAGTATGATTTTACAGGAACATAACATGTGAAAAAATCATCCTGTGCATTATTATCATTGCTACTTTACTTGAGCAACACCCATGTGCCCCACCCCAAGTAAGGATTACAGTTTGCTTGAGATTGTGAATACAGAAAGATGGGTCCACACACTGGGTTTATGAGTTTAATGCACTACACATAGCGTAGAGAAAAGGAAATGCTATCATCAGTATTCACTGATGGATAATCACTCTAGGAAGAGACCCTGTTTCAGGTTGATATTAAATGTTTATCTGTTTTTACCACATTTGCCTATGGGTTTACTTGGTGTTTACATGTACTACTGCAAAAACATGACTTGTCCAAGACCTGGAAGAAGGGCCCTGATGGAGCTGGGAACTAGACTGTCATCAGTCACTCTCCAGTGACTACCCAGTACTTTTATTGCAGAAACCCAGTACCGATGGTTATTATATCTGCAACTTGGTGATGGCAGACAGGAGACAGACTAACACCTTCCTCTCAAACAGTGCACATCTGTTTCCCTTGAGGAAAAGAGCTTATCTGTGTGTTATTGATCCTGGCGTGTTTATGGCACATGGAGAGTGTTTCTCATACTGTTCAGTTAAGCTCACTAGTATGTACAGGCAGGTAGAAGGTTCTCTGCAAAACAGTCTTTATTAAGTACTATAATGCTATTGTTTATTTATTTTTTTAATTATTTTGTGATCAGAATAGTTTGGGGTAAGCAAAACATAAAAAAATACACAGGAAATTGTGTACAGGGTAATAAAATTACTGAGCTCTATCTGCTGAACATATTGCTGCCCTTCAGAGAAACTTGTTTCTCCAAGGAACTAGATGGAAAATGTGCTTCCTTGTTTTATGTTCTTTGGTGTTTCTGATGACATTGCAGTGATTGGATATTTTTTTTCAGTTGACACAAGTTTATCTGCACAATTGAAAGACATTCTCTATGTATTGTCTGTTTCATTAATTTTATATTACCAGACAAGCACTAGGGCTCACACATCAGCACTGACAGGACAAGAACATCTTATATTCCCCTATAGACATCATCTGTAATAACAAAGCCAAAATGGAAAGTAATAGTAAAGGATACTGACTTTGTTCAGAGACTCCAGTCTGACCTTTCTAAGTTCTTTTCAGAGTGCCAGGAGCATCGGAGAACTTCCATTTAACAGCTTGCTGGGCACCACAGCCAGGACTTTTCTCTCTAAACATTGCCTGTGAGTAACTGAGATGTTAGTCAACATACTGACTTTAGAAGAGAAGAAACCGTGTTAACCTTCTCTCCTTTCTCTGAAATCTGTTGATCTTGTTGAAAGCCAGATGATGTATCCTGACACATGAAGTACACTCTGCACTATCTGCGTATTCTCTCTCGCCTGAGGCAGGAGGGTGGGGTGTTTTTATGTGCCTAACAACTAACTGCTGCAGAAATTTTCAAATCCTTCCCACTTCAGCATGGGCCTGGGGCTGTGTTTTTGCTGGCTGTAATTCACTCCTCAGAAAACTGTTCTGACTTGCCTATAGCCATGTAAATGTATCAAGGGAAGGGCTTTATAGACCAGATTCCAGGAGTAAAACCAGTTTACTGCAACAAAACCTGTCCCTGAGAGATACATTCTGCTCTCCTAACAGTGCAAATGTCCAGTAATTACAGTGAAGTCACTAGAAGGCCATCAGCATGAAGCTAAAGCAAAAATAAAGTTTTGTTGCTTTTTCTACTTTACATTTGGGCATGGCTTAGACTACCCAGTATGTTTTACTTCAATTTTCAGTGTACCCTTCTTGGAAAGAAAAACTGACATAATTTATTGTAGCTAAGGGGCACTGCAATTTGCCATTACAAAAGATAATGCAAGAGGAAGCTGAGATGGGCTTCCTTGGTCTCCCTGCTGCATGTGTGAATAGCCAAGTGGGTGAGGCACAGGACTAATAAAAGGGAAGGGCGCAAGGACTGTCTCTTACTTTTTTGTCTTCTTGTGGGATTTTCCTTGACACAGGCATGCCAAAACCTACAGTTTGAAGTCTTTATGAGGCTGTAGCAGACAAAGGAAACAATAAACAGACCTTCAGTGTTCTTGTCTTTGCTGGAGAACTGATTGATCATTACCTTAAGAAAACTCAAGCCTTTTCAATCCATGCCCTCATCTAAACTAGTCCCTGGTGTGGCTTTTGTCATCTGTGATGGTCTGAGCATATTTTTGTTTTAAAGGTATTTGGTCTGTAGTGGAGCTTGGAGTCACTGTTTTCTCACATACTTAATAGTTATCGTGCTGTGCTGTACCTTTTAGGTTGCTGTCATTTACTTGTGCTGCTGGAATTGGTGAAGCTGAAGAAGTGGATGTGGTTTATTTGCAAGCACAGATGAGCTAATTTGAGGGCAATTACCCATAGTCTGGAGGCCTTGGGTGAACTCATTAGATTAAACTGGGGTACCAAACAAGTATCCAGGTAAACACAGATGGAGATGCACACCTTACCTTCTTCCTGGACTCTGGAGGTTTTACTGTTGCTCTGAGTATAGTCATGGGCGAGTAGTGTCCATCAACACTTCAGCAGCATCATTGGTTAGATGGTAGAATAGCCATTCTACCCAGCAAACCTCCTTCCCTACCAAGCTGCAGCATCAGCAGGCGGGATTCAAAAATACAGTTCCTCTCACTAAGAAAGAAATTAGGTCATTTACCTAAGACTAGAGAAAACCTTATGAAGTAAAAATTATGAGACTAGAGAAAACCTTATGAAGTAAAAATTATGAGGTCTTTTCATAAGGATGAAATACAAATGTGTTCATGGGAGTTTTCCATCTCTGGGTACTGCTGGCAATGAAGTCACATCTTGATGCCAGTGTGGCAATGCTGTCAGCACTCACTATGCTTCTGTTGCAAACCAGGCTCACAGGCTAATACAGGCTAAT